ATGACTACAACTTTTGATTTTTAAATGGTACCCTCTGTATTTTGTTACTTTAATATTTTTTGTATTATTATTATTTTTTTTGGAAAAATTTTGAGGGTCACCGGCTTTTTTCTGTATTTGCATCCCTTTTAGTGCCGTAACCATAGAGTAAAGCTGTAACTATGGTAATATCACTGAACACATTACTATGGTAATATCGACTGAACATGAATCGCTATATCAAAGCATTCAAACCCAAGAAACGCTTACAAAAGATCTCGCATCCTTGAAAGCCTATTTTATAAAATGGAGACTTCAGCCCAGTGCAAATAAAACACTGGCTACCTTCCATCTTAATAACAAGCTGGCGAATACTGAAATAAGCGTCCAGTTTGGTAACAGCACTCTGCGTAATTACAAATATCCAAAATATCTGGGGATTACTTTAGACCGTACACTCTCATTTCGAAAACACCTAGAAAATGTTGCTGGTAAAATCAGAACACAAAACAACATTATACAAAAACTTTGTGGTACTTCTTGAGGTGCAAAAGCAACAACACTTCGGATCTCCGCCCTTGGCCTGGTATTCAGTGTGGCAGAGTATTGTGCACCCGTGTGGTTGAACAGCCACCACACAAATCCAGTAGACAGACAGCTGAACAACACCATGAGGCTGATTACAGGGACAATCAGATGCACACCTAGTTAGTGGCTTCCAGTTCTGAGTAACATCCTACCTCCAAATCTACGCAGAAACGAGGCTCTTCTTAGGGAATTTGATAAAATAATACCTAACCCAACGCTACCTGTTCATGAAACACTTCCCGCTTTACAGATGAATAGACTAAAGTCGAGAAATCCACATTTGCGAACAGCTGAACAACTTAAAAGCAGTAACTACAATTCTCGAGAACAGTGGCTTCAGTTATGGAGAAAAATGGCCGATGCGCACCTATACCCCTGGTTCAAAAATAACTATTTCCAGCCATAACTATTGCCAGCCATGGTCAACTTTGAATAGAATACGCTCTGGCCATGGAATATGTGCGGATGCCACTTTATAAGTGGGGTAAAATACCTTCCCCAGAATGTGATTGCGAATCCCCTGACGAAACCATCCATCACATAACTAGAAAGTGCAATCTACGCTCTTATGGTGAAGACTGGATGGACTTTCTGGAGGCTTCTCCAGCAGCTTTAGAATGGATTATAGGGCATCTAGATGTTAATATATAGTGTTCGTAAATGCGGTTTTTATGTAGTTTTTTTTATCAAATACTTGTTTTTGTATATTATTTACATTGTAATGTTTTCACTTACATTGTAGTTTATTTTAATTATATCTATGTTTAAGAGTCTGGTTTTCTTGCATGTATGTATATGAGCCATACGATAAATAAATAAATAAATGGTAATATCAGAGATTAAGAAATTATACCATGGGAAAATTTGCGGTGACCAGGCAGTTCTAAAAAGTTTTCTTAAAATATACAGGGAAATTTAAAAGAAAATGCACGATTTTCAACATCTTTTTTTTGCGTAAAAAAACCTCATAGACATAGGGGTCGAAATATACCACCCCTAAAAATATTTTTTGCGCTTATTTAAGACTCACCCTGTATATATAGCTAAATCGGCAATGATTGAAAATTAATAGTTTGTATTGTGGTATTTTTATGGTATAATTAATTAGTGTGTTGTAGTTTTTAGTTGTTTAGTAAATTTGTTAAGTATATTTTATGTAATATGTTTAAATATACGGAATATACCCCCGCGGAATCCGTCACAATATACTAACCCTGATATAAAAAATACGTTATAAACATATATTTTCATTAAAAATTAAAATAACATGTTACTTTACGCCCTTACATAGATTTTATTAAAGTACCAGCGTTTTTTAATAAACATAATATGGGAATCATAACTGATTAAGTTATGAAGAAACGCAGTTACTGGGACAAAAAACGATAGAAAGTATTTCTTTGCTCGGTACATACGAACTATCGGTACATACGAACAATTCAATGGTCAATTCAAATTTCAATTGCAAATTTGTAACTAAAAAAACTTGTTAGTGCTTTATTTTTCATAATTTATAAAATTATGATTGTATCGTATTCGTAAATTGTCTAAGAATGGCATAATAGAATTCCTACCAATCAGTAATGAAAAATACAGTTTTTTAATGGAGATTTAGGTAGCTACACATTATCACTATATTTATATCAGTATTGTAAGTCTCCGCAACTCAACCCTAAGAAAACTAAATTTAAAAAATTTAATATATGACAGTGTATGAATAACTATAGGATAATTAAGAGGGTATTCAAGCGAATGAATTGATAAATACCCCGGTTAGAACCTTTATTTATAATATTGTTGACTATCATGTGATATTCCCTTTTAACAAATAGTGGCAGAGTCAGTAAGGGCATGTACCTAACTGTAAAAAATATACTGAGTTCGCTGACGTTTCTTACGCTTGCTCAACGATTGAGCTTGCTGATTGGACTGTTCCAAGTCATATGTTTGACAGATTATCAAAATGCTTTAAAATAAACATAAAGTTATCAATAAAGTAAAAATAACAAATATTAAGCAAATACCAAACATGCAGTAAATCATCTTAAACTTAGATATCTAAAAAATACAGAAAAAAAACATTCTACTTTTGAAATAAAATGACATACGACAGTCATTTCACTGGACATACTATAATACATTTAGTCCTAAGAAGCAATATATAATATGGGTGAGTTTAATTTTAGGTAAAATTATTTTGAAACATTGTTCAGTTATATAGGTTGGTTTAAACCAGGGTTGGCATGTATCAATAATATATATATCGGATATATATCACTGATATATATCATGATATTTATACCTCGATATATATCATGATATTTATACCTTGATATATATCATGATATTTATAAAAAAAATAAAGCTCAACAATAAGTAAAAAACAAAAAAGATAATATTGATTGGATCTGGGACAATTCAAATGTACCAAAAACTTTGCCAGAAACAGTATCAATTGATTCTGACTGACGAATCTGACGATGATTTACCATTAACAAAATTAATAAATCAAATATAAATTTGTTTGTTGTTGGTTTTAGAATATCTGTTTATTTTTTTGAATTTCCGTTTATTTTTTAGAATTTTCTGTTAATTTTCAAGAGAAACAGCGGTTTTTTGAGCTTGGCCCTTTTCCTACGGACCGGCAAATGATTTTCAATACGGGGTGGTGTACCCTTGTCATCTGTACATCGTTTCCAAGTGATCTCGTTGCGGCACAACCCTTAATAAATGAGCTATAAATTTTTTTCTGTTAATTTTCAAGAGAAATAGCGGTTTTTTGAACTTGGCCCTTTTCCTACGGACCAGCAAATGATTTTGAATACGGGGTGGTGTACCCTTGTCATCTGTACATCGTTTCCAAGTGGTCTCGTTGCGGCACAACCCTTAACAAATTGGCGGCGATTTTTTTTCTATCTAATTTTAGGTAAAATGACAGTTTTTTGATTCTGGCCCTTTCCCTACCGACCGGCAAATGGTTTTGAATACGGGATGGTGTACCCTTGTCATCTGTACATCGTTTCCAGGTGATCTCGTTGCGGCACAACCTTTAATAAATGAGCTACAATTTTTTTTCTGTTAATTTTCAAGAGAAACAGCGGTTTTTTGAACTTGGCCCTTTCCCTACGGACCGGCAAATGGTTTTGAATACGGGGTGGTGTACCCTTGTCATCTGTACATCGTTTCCAGGTGGTCTCGTTGCGGCACAACCCTTAATAAATGAGCTTCAATTTTTTTTCTGTTATTTTTCTGCTAATTTTCAAGAGAAACAGCGGTTTTTTGAACTTGGCCCTTTCCCTACGGACCGGCAAATGGTTTTGAATACGGGGTGGTGTACCCTTGTCATCTGTACATCGTTTCCAGGTGGTCTCGTTGCGGCACAACCCTTAATAAATGAGCTTCAATTTTTTTTCTGTTAATTTTCAAGAAAAACAGCGGTTTTTTGAACTTGGCCCTTTTCCTACGGACCGGCAAATGATTTTGAATACGGGGTGGTGTACCCTTGTCATCTGTACATCGTTTCCAGGTGGTCTCGTTGCGGCACAACCCTTAACAAATTGGCGGCGATTTTTTTTCTATCTAATTTTAGGTAAAATGACAGTTTTTTGATTCTGGCCCTTTCCCTACGGACCGGCAAACGGTTTTGAATTTTTAGAATTTCTGTTTATTTTTTAAAATTTCTGTTTATTTTTTAGAATTCCTGTTTATTTTTTAGAAGTTCTGTTTATTTTTTTTAGAATTTCTGTATATTTTTATACATTTTTGTTTTAATGTTGTTCCTATTATGTGCAAAGCAACAATAATTAAGTTGAAATAAAAATATTTGCTTGAGCTCTTGATTTTACTTAATACTAAACGCAGTTTTACATAAAAAATAAAAACAAAAATAAATATCAAAACTTGATATATATCGGATATATAGCCGATATTTGATATTTATATAAATATCATATTTGCCAACCCTGCTTTAAGCCAGTGTCTATTATTCATAACCAGGGGTTCAAACCAAGCAAAATATAGCAGTCTTGAAACTGTTAGTTGGTGAAAAAGCTTGGTTGATTTTGAAAGGGTGAAAGTAAGTAATAAATATTCTTCTTCTTACAGTGCCATACTCTATACAGAGCGTCGGCTACCTCTCGTATATACTTGTGATGTGTGTGATCAGCGTTTCACAAGTACACGGGACCTACAGTTTATCGCCAAATCCGAACGGCACTGTTTGAGGTGTACAAGGCAAATATACTCAAGGTGGTTTGTCGTTGCCTTCCTTGAGATGGCTCTATCTCCAATCGCTCTATTTAGATAAATATTTTTATTTAAATAAATACAACGATCCTACTGGCTGGGGATCGGACCTAGTACCTCTCGCATCGCAGATCGACACACTATTGCCTGCGCTACGACCGGCCACTAATAATAAATAATAGAATATGTTAATAAAATAATATTTATTTATTGCTGATGTATAGGAAAAATCGACATTTGGAAAGGCATCATGATTTCATGCAGGTAATATAAAATATTACAACACCCATACTTAGTAATAAAATTAATATAAATCTAAATAATAATATAGAACCTAAAATATAATAAATATGTTAAAAAAGAGAATTAAAAAAGTGACTTATTAAAAGATTTATATAATGAAACGTCAACTGGTGGATTTTCATATAAACTATTGGATAAATCTGTATAAATAATTGGATAATACTGAATCCTGCCATTAGACCAACCAATAGATAAGCACGCTCCAGCATCAAAATTTTGTTGAAAACTCAATATGCTAGGTTTCTCCTCTGATAAACCCATAAGTAATGCACTAAAACATAATAATAAATTTGCACAAATACCTTTATTATACCTAGGATTAACTTACCTTGGTATTACTTTGAGATCAGGTTGTCTGACAATATTAAAAACAGCAACTGTGTTAGTTTCTTGAAAAATAACAGCAAGATGTTTTCCATTGGGGTCAGTTTCCATAACCTGAATCAATCCCCCTACCGTTATGCCATCCAAATCCACTTTACTTGTGTCAAACATTGGTAATGCTTGTTTTGAGGATGACTCTAAAAATATATATTGTTAGGACTTTTATATGATTTTAAAATACAAAAAAAGACGGCTCTTAAAATGGAGGAGCTTCATATTATATGATCATGACTTTTAAAGACATTAAAAATATGACTATAAAAATCTTTGATAAAAATGTATATCACTAGGACATTTATATGACTTAAATACATTGACAAGTTGAATCTAAAAATGCATACATAATAATATTAATAATAATAATTGCCTTTATTGAGAAAAAGAATAGATACATAGAAGAAAAAGAAATTAAATACGAAAATGTCAGTGCCTTGGCCCGGCGCAGTCTACCTCCAGGTCAAGGCACTGAGATTTGATATGACTTTTATATATAACAAGAAGAGTTATGTGTATAAGAAGAGTGAGCTTATAGTTAAAAAATAAAAACTAATAGTAATAAGAAATATATACAGGGTCCGGCAATAGTGCGTCGGGCATCTGTAGCTCCTAGAATAAAAAACTTTTTTTTGGTTAACTGCAAACCTAAAGTATTGTTGCGGACCTGTGTGGACTCGGCATAACCTAACTAGCTAAAATGTCCAGCGCCCATATGACTTTAATATCGCATTAAAGAATAGACACCGTAATGATTCATTCGAACGTTCGAGAAAAATCAAGCTCCACTGGAATGGAGTAGAATGTAGAATGTTTAGGAGGGGAGTTAATCACCGCGACCTTATAGATCTATTGTGTGTTCCCCTTTCTTGAGTTATAACGAGTTATAACTCATCATACAGTCTCATACTGGAATGGAGTAGTACATACGAGAACATTCGAAACCTTCTCTATGCACCTAATGATCTATGGATTCTTCGAGAAACTCTTTAGCTGTGGTTATAAAAGCCGGCGGCTGGGGCCTGAAGAAGACAGAAATAAATAGACGAGTGCAGTTGACGCGCTAAAATTCAAAATAAATTCTTTCTAGATAAATAGTTATAAATTGTTTGTAGATAGTTCTTTAAGTCTTTTATCGTTATTGTTTTTGTTAATTAGTGTCTAAATGAATGGTGACTTTCTATCCACACAGAACAGACAAAAAACGTAACAGTATGTATTTCAGGAAAATATTTTAACTTCTGTAGAGTGGCTCAAAACAGAGTGAGTGGGTCGGGATGATATTTTTTAAATGGAACACCCTATATATTATTGCATTTTTGGCTTTGTTTCAGAGTTTCAGATCACTTTATATAATCCTAAAATATGAGTAAATATATTTCGATAATTTCAGAGATATTAATAAATAAATAAAAAAATATTTATTTTTCAACCTTCCTTAAAAAAAATATTACAAATACAAGAACTGTCCTGAAATCAAAACTATATTAGGTATTTACTTTAGATAGTCTATACTTACTTTGCTATAAATATCGTAATAATCTTACAGGATGTTCAAAATTCTACGCCAAAGTTTCTAAAATAAAATAATTTTTCTTTGTATTTTCAAATGAAACGCCCTGGATATTATTTTTCTACTAGATGGAGAATTAAAAAAAACATTTTATTGTTTTCAAAATTTTAATGGTTTCCCAGATACTCATATGTAGATCCCAGATTTCATATGTCTCTCCCAACGGTAAAATACGAGCGAAAAACATTAGGTGGCTTTGACAAAAATTTACTGTGGAAAATGCCATCGGAAATATAATAACAAATATCTGCGAAACCGTTAAAAATTTTGAAATACTCTTAAATACAAAGTATGTTTATTTTTTTAATTCTTCATCTATTTAAAAAATTAAATATGTACAGGGTGTTTTATTTAAAAAAAAAACGAAGAAAAATTATTTTATATTTTAGAAAGTTTAGCGCAGAATTTTGAACATCCTGTATGATTTATAATTACCATATTTATAGCAAAGTAAGAACAAACCATCTAAAGTAAATAACTAATATAATTTTGATTTCAGGACAGTTTTTGCATTTTTAATAATTTTTTTAATTCTGAAAAATATATATTTTTTATTTATTTATTAATATCTCTGAAATTATCGAAATATATTTACTCATATCTTAGGATTATGTCAAGTGATCTGAAAGGAAGCCAGAAATGCAATAATATAGAGGGTGTTCCATTTAATGCAACCTAGCCACCCTACAGAAGTTAAAATATTTTCCTGAAATACATCCTAGTACATACTTTAGGTTTGCAATTAAACAAAATTCTCTTTTGACGGACCCCTGTATAGTTAGGACATTTATGACTTTTAGATACATTTACAAGATGACTATAAAAAATGTATATAGTTAGGAAATTTATATAACTTCTAAATGCATCAACGCAAGAGGGCTATAAAAATATATATAATTAAGACCTTTATTTTATGACAAGATGACTCGGAAATGTACATATATATGTTAGTACATTCACATGACTTTTAAATTCATTTAAAATAAAATCCAAATATTTACCAGTGTCACTTGCAAAAATTAAATCATTTTTCACAATAACTCCATAAATAATAGGTTCAGTAGTAGTAGCAAAAAGTAAAGTTGTTCCACAATTTGACCAACAGGCTGATTGAACTCTGCCACTTAAAACAGTCCATCTTTCACATTCCCAATTACGATAGTCCCAGACTCTACAAATCAGTTTATCATAAATTCAATTATCACTAATACTCAGCAGATAAATAACCTAAAAACTAATCCATCTGAGCATGTAACTAATTTCTCACCAGTGGGGGACCATTTAACTAATGTATTCCCAAAACCTCCAGCCCTCTTTAAGGAACTAGTTCTGTTTAACTCAGGATCCCAGACAAGAATAGTATTGTCACAAGCCGATACACTTACTAGTTTGTCACCTTTTGGAGACCAAGCAATACTCATTACAGGTCGGTGCTCTAATCTTTGAAGAATAATTCCATTGCTAACTGATGGCCTGGACACCTAATAAAACCTAACTAAATATATATACTAATCATTTGGCATAAATGATATAAGTACCAAAGAATTTGGATCAATATTCCAAATAATAATTCCATTTTCATGTGCTACAGCTATTTCTGTATTAGACAAAGGTCTCCAGGCAACACAAGTAATATGCCGTTGTTCTTTACATCTTAATAGTGGACAGTATGTACTATCACTGCTATAAATCCTTACACTATCATCACAAGTTGCTACAGCTACTTTTGTGCAGTATGGATGCCACGAAATATACCTTATGGTACTACTATGCCAATTTTTTGTTTGTCCTAAATTATTTATTAATATTGGTCCACTGCATGTAATATTTGGATTTAAAATAAGTCTCACTTTTTGAATATATTTTACTGCATTTAATAAAATGTTCGCTACTTGGGAAATTAGAAATCTGTTATGTGATTTTGCATAATGCAGTGCTTCAACTGGGCCCTGTTCATAATACACTTGAGTAAGTTGCTTAAGAAAAGATACATTGACAGGTAAAAAAAGTGCTTTTCCTTCATCCCCTGATGTTGTTGCATGAAGCTGATCTCGAGTAATATGTATATTTGGATGATTTTCGATCTAAAAGAGAAACTATTAATTAAATTACTGCATTTTTTTAAGCCTAAATACCTTATTTGTAAAAGTCGAAATATTGGCATATTCTAGATTCATATAATGAACACGTCCATTTATCTCGCATAAAGCAGTTTCACACTCATTCGGTATCTCAAAATCGTGTAAGTTTCTCATTTTATTCTTAGTTCAACAACACTGTGAACAACACACAAATTAAATTTTTAAAAAGCAGGAAGCACGGTTATTTTAAACTGTCAATGTCAATGTCAAAGTCAAGCCAAAAACGAGACCACAGACCATAGTACAGGATGTATCTTGCCACAGACGAGACATAGACCCAGTAGAAGTTCGACCTAAGGATTTTAGAAAGGATTTTAGCTAACCCAAAATATACCATGTCCTTGACTAACCCCAACCCTGAATCACATTTATATATAAAATTTTAATTGCAGATTGCCAGCAAAGATAGCTCTTGTTATCTATATATCTGCCCGATCTGCCCATTATCTGCCATCCTGCAAAAACCAAACAACGAGGTACGTTTAAGTACTTTCCATTGTTTGTATTAATCAATAGTGAAAGATGACAAATCAAACATATTTCGAAACTAGAAACGCTAGAAACTACTAGAAACGCTTGAAACTACAGTCAGCGCCATATTCACATTCACAGCCATATCAAAGGCCATATTGACTTCATGCTCTGAGTTGTTTCAGACATACGTTGCTAAATTGCAAGACTACAAAACTCAGACGGACGTCCTAATAATAATAAAGAACAACAAAAATGGATATCGGTCAATATTTAACAGCACCTTTACAGATTGATAAAATTTGTAGGGCTTGTTTGATGGAGAGAAAAGACATGAAGCCACTTTTTGGTGCCTGTTTGGATGAAATGCTTCAATATTTTACATCCATTGATGTGAGTAGAATATATAGTTTGAAGTTATTGATTTTCATTTTACATACCTATAATCATCTTAAATTACTAAAATTCTCTATGAATTTTTATCTTTTTCGTAAGGAATTGGAGGGTAACCGAATTGGAATTACATATCATGTCTCATAATTTATAGTTATTCCCAATGGATTTATTTTAGATGTCTCCAGATGATGATCTTCCTCATCTAATGTGTATTCAATGTGTTTTACAATGTAGCCGAGCTTATACATTTAAACAATTATGTGAAAAGTCTGACTCAATACTTCGACAATATCAAAGCCCAGCATTTCAAGTATTATCAAAAAAGTCATTTTATTCTCTATTTGCATAATAATTTTTTTAAGGCTTTACTAAATCAACAAGCCGATGAATCTCACAATCAGGTAAAAAAAGAGTTAGAAGAACAATTAACCTTTCAAGGCAGCGAAGTAAAAATTATTATGGATCATAGCAAAAATGATTTCAACAATGAATTTGTAACTTATGAAGATAAAAGTGACAATAACTCAGAAGTAACTGTTCAAACTGCTGAAGTAAAGTGCTGTACTTGAGAGCATGAGAAAATATCCTTTATATGTATTTTTTAGATACATGGAGAAATATACACTGTAGAAACAGTTGAAACAACAAATGAGGAGTTTTTGGAAACTGTATCAATGGAGGAATTGAACGATAGTTATGATAATGATTTGAGCAATGTTAATAATGAAGAGGACAAAAAATATAAATGTTCAAAATGTGATGCATGTTTTGTCCTCAAGGTTGATTTAAAAGTATATAATAACAAACCTTTAATTGTTCTATTTTATAAATTGATTAAATATATATAGGTCCATATGATGTCCCATCCTAAAGAATTAGTCTTTTCTTGTAATGTTTGCAATAAAAAATTTGAAAAGGCTCGTATTTTAAAAAGACATCAAAAAATTCATCTGGATTATAAACCGCATCGCTGTGATGAATGTGATATGTCATTTGCAGAAAGTTCCAATTTAAGTAAGCATAAAAAGAAACATACCGGAGAATTGCGAAATATTAAAGTAATGTGACACTAAAAGGTTTTATGATTTAACATACATAAATTCAATTTCTAGGGAAAACCACATTTATGTTCTGTTTGTGGTAGGGCATTTAAATGGGCCTCTAGTTTACATAAACACATGAAATATCATACTGGTCATAAACTATTTAGCTGTCAATATTGTCCCAAACAATACGTAGAGGTAATGATTGAGAAAAATGTTTTAAGAACACTAATCTCTTTATTTAGGAAAGAAGTTTAAAAATTCATGTCAGATCGCACACTGGTGAAAGACCATATGTTTGTGAATTTTGTCAAAAAGGTTTTACCCAACGTTGCAACTTAGAGAAACATATTCGTGTACATACAGGAGAAAAACCTTATACATGCACAGTGTGTAACAAAGGGTAAGAATAATGCTGCAGGCTGTAACAAGAATCAAATTATAATTTTCAGCATGCTTTCTTTTTTCAGCATGCATTCTTTTTAAAGCCATAATTAAGAATATGTTACCATTTTCGTAATTATTGGGAAAACTGGAAATTGTATGATTTTCACCAAAATTGGTATACACACTATTTTGAGGTCATAGATTACGAATCTGAACTTTTTTCTTGGCGGTCTCTTACCGTTTATTAGAAGCCGTTTATTTACCGCTTAGAAGTTATATAAAGACTATTTACAACCTCGAAGTTGCACGAAAGAGTTTTGATTGCATTGGTTTTAACTTCTTTGCGGAGGGGGTTAATTTTTTTTTTTTATATAATATAACAACAAAAGATTAATTAATTAATGCAATCAAAACTCTTTCCTGCAACTTCGTGGTTATAAATAGTCAGATCTCGTTGGTAAAATAGCAATTATGGGAAAGAGCCGTTCTTCTGGCGACCGCCTTTCGTAATCCCAGAATGAGCGAAAAAAACACGATAAATTTAGGTTTAGCATTGGCAACGTTGCTTTAAATGCCAGAAACACATAACCCAACATTTTCAGATTGTTTACAAATTTATTTTAGCAAATTTTCCTCTATTATGCATAGATTTGGTTAAAAAAGTAACAGAAAATAGCAATAACATCATTGTTTATTGAACACCTAACAAAAATATGTGCTAGAAAACCTTAAAAATATGAGAAATTAAGAAAAATTCGATGTTGAAATAATTTTCCGTTTTTCCGAAAAACGGTAAGAGACCGCCAAGAAAAAAGTTCAGATTCGTCATCTACGACCTCAAAATAGGGTGTATACCAATTTTGGTGAAAATCTGACGATTTCCAGTTTTCCCAATAATTAGGGTAGAGTGGGGCACGTTCGGACATGGGGCACCTCCGGACATTTTAAATTTACCGCTTTCCAAAACTAAATACGTTTTCGCATTTTAACAGGTGGTAATAGTGGTTCTTTCATGTTGCGAGCTAAAATTTTGTGCCGGTGCCTAAAGAAATTTTAAAGTTATTACCGAAATAAATATATAGTGACCTCAAGTAAGTATTATGTATATTAACTTGTAAGGTTTTACACGATTGAGTGTTGTAATTTCATTGTTTTAAAGGAATATGCCTAGAAAGTATGATAGTTTTATATCACATAACCTATCTTTCAAGAATCCACAAGCGCGTAATTTGAGTATTTTTTCGGTTGTTTGAATTTTCTACATGTGGGGCACATCCGGACAGTGCAAGGTGGGGCATATTCGGACTGTCCGGTGGTGCCCCACATATACAGGCTACTAAACATTAATACACCCATTTGTACTCAGATTATAAATGATATACTTATTATTTTAAGGATGGTTAGAAACTATGTTAGGAAGCGAAACGAACCCGTGGTTTCCGAAGCAAAAATTCGAACAGCGGTTCTAGATGTACTACAAAATAAAATTTCCATACGTATTGCTAGCACTAAACATGGGGTGAAAAAATCAACGCTTCAAGACAGAGTTAAAAAAGCCAGGACTGCCAGGGGACAAAATGCCTTTTCTGATTCTGGAAATGAGAGTAGTGATGAGGATTCGTTGCCAAGTATTGGCTTATCAAAATATGCGACAAGGCAAGTATTTTCTGTGCCTGAAGAAAATGAGCTAGAATCATATCTTAAGCAATCATCACAAATTTTATATGGTTTGACCTATCAGGCAACTCGCAAATTAGCTTATGAATATGCAGTTAAATTAGGAAAACATTTTCCTCAACAATGGAAAACAAATGAAATAGCTGGTGTCGAATGGATGCGCTCATTTATGAAGCGGCATCCAAGGCTATCATTAAGGAAGCCCGAAAACACCAGTGTGGCACGTGCGTCAGCATTTAACAAATATAATGTTGAAGACTTTTTTAGAATTACTCTGATGTGCAAACTAAATACGGGTTTCTTCCTAATCGTATTTGGAATACGGATGAGACTGGTATATCCACAGTAATTCAGGCTCCCAAAGTAGTTGCAGAAACTGGTAAAAGAGTTGTAGGACAATGTGTTTCTGGAGAAAGGGGCACATTAGTTACATTTTGCGGCATTATATCTGCTACAGGTAACACAATTCCCCCAATGTATATATATCCTCGGGCTCGAATAAAAAACCATTTTTTGAATGGTTCTACTCCTGGTGCCATAGGGAACGGCTCAGAGTCTGAGTGGATGACTGCTCAGTTATTTGTAAGATTATTAGAACATATCAGCAACCATACTCAGAGCAGTCCAACGAATCCCATACTTTTGTTAATGGACAATCATGAGACTCATGTGTCAGCGGAGGCTATTAATTATTCCAGGGATCATAGTATTGTACTGTTGTCATTCCCGCCACACTGTACACATAAGATGCAGCCTCTTGACAAAGCAGTGTATGGACCATTTAAGCAAAAATGCAAAGTCTCTTTTAATGATCATATCCTGAACAACCCAGGAGCACCGATAACGATTTATGACATCGCTAAGCTGACGTCAGGACCCTATCTTCAAAGTTTTACACCAAAAAACATTACAAGCGGATTTTCAAGCACCGGTTTGTGGCCCATTAATAGGCTTATTTTCTCTGACAGTGACTTCTTTGGAGCCTACGCCACAGACAGGCCTCAACCTGAAAGTACCGGAGATCTTACGTCACAGCCGAACGACCATCTTAATCAACCATCTACATCTTTCAATCATTCAATTAACAGTTCCAATATTCCGTCCACCTCTTCTGATCATCCGCCTTCCGCTTCTGATCATCTTACATCTTTAAATGATGTGTCCGTTCATTGTGTAACCAAAGAAGTTAAAACAACAGCCATGATTCGTTCAATAATTGATGAAATCATCGATGTAGTAACAAAACCACCTGTTAATATTATTTCTGTGCATCCTATTGTTAAGCCATCAGATGTTAAACCGTTCCCAAAAGCACCGTCACGAAAAACTAACAGGAAATCTCGTATAGGAAAATCTAGAATTTACACCAGCACCCCAGAGAAAATTCGAGTTGAAGAATTAGAAGACATTAGAAGGCAAAAACTAGACAAGAGTGAAACCAAAAAAAAGTTAGTGATTCAAACAAGCGCAACAAAATTGAAAAAAAAATCCCTAAAAACCAAACCAAATGTTCAAGAGAAGCAAACTAAAAAGACTTTAAGAAAAGTAACGAAAAGAGCTAACGAAAGTCCCACATCTTCAGATTCTGAATCAGAATATTTTAAAGCAATGAAAAAGAAAAACAGATTCCTCGAGTCTCCATCTGACTCGGATACTGGCATGGAATCTGACTGCGATGAATTCACTAAACTTCTAGGTAAAAATGTTTGCTTTATTTTTCTAACGGTTCAGTATCTTTCATAATTATTTTGTTTTTTCTAGATGACGAGACAATTTCATGTGACGACTTTGTTCTTGTAAGATTCCCCACAAAAAAAACAGTTGTGTATTATGTCGGACAAGTAATAGAGCTTGCAGAATACGGCGAGTTTGTTATAAAATATTTGAGGCATTCGCAGAACCGTTTCCATTTTCCTTTTGTGGATGATATTTCAAATGTCGCAAGATGTGACATAGAGGCAAAACTGCCCAAACCAACTACAGTTGCTGGGAATGCGCGCTTGGCTAGTTTTTTAAAATTTAACGTTAATTTTAGTTCTTTTAATTTAAAATAACCCACTATTTAACAGAAACTTATTCATTTATGTTATTATTATTGTCTTTTCTTGTTATTAATATCAGGAATTTAATTTTGTAGGTTTAAGTGCTAAATTTCCTATGTGTTTACATGTTTATTTTTGAAGTTCCTTTAGGTTATAAGTTTTTATGTTACTAAATAATGATATTTCAAAGAAAAAAGTGTTTGTGAAGTATATGTCTGGATGTACCCCAGGGGTGTCCAAAACTGCCCCACCATGGGGCACCTTTGGACAAATGCAACACATTTGTAATTTTATTTTTTTCAAAAAACGATGCAGGTTTTATTGGCATCTGCTAAATTATTGGTTTTAAAACATATCAACCAAGCTATTGCCATCTCTAAAACATTTAATTTGGCAAAAATAAAAGTAAAATATCACCTTATCCAAAACCGTCCGAACCTGCCCCCCTCTACCCTACCACCATTTTTTACATTTTACTTCAATGCTCAATTTCTTGATATAAATGGTTTTATATGATTGCCAATTGTAATTGAAGGGCCCAGGGGAAAAATATGATGAGCGCCATTTTACTAATTTTACAGGAGAGCACTGGATGGCTCGTGGTTATCAGGTTCTTTCCCTGTATGTATGTCGTAGTCTCATAGTGTATTCCGGCCTTTCATGAACATCCTAGTCACTTAATGAAGAAAACTAACCTAATAACATAACTAAACTCCTAACCTAACCGACGCTTCATAAAGTTAGCTAGGATATGGAATACACCATGAGACTACAATATACATATACACTGCACATATATGCACAAATTTTGTTTTTTGTTTACATTTGGGGAAAATATGGGTTCAACTTTAGTAGATGAATGAAACAAAATCTTTTCAAAAGATATCATCTACTTCGGGTATGTCGCCAATACCGCGCCTAATAAGGATTTTTAGGAATATCTCTGTAACTCTGCAACTAGACAGAACGATGACCTATATGTGTGTTATTACTAAATAAAATTTAATGAAACAATGATAAAGTCGATTATACAGATTCCATAGCGGCAGTCGCTTAATTTTTAGTCAAATAAGTCAGCTTTTTAAAAGTGCTTCTATTGTAAAATATTAAAGACGCAGTTGAACATATCGTTAGATTTTTCTATAGATGGGTAGCTTACAGACGAAACCGATAGACCTGGCAACTCTGTGATGAACTGACGGGAGACGGAATAGCGAGTTGTGGACGCGCGGGAAGGGAAATAAAATAATGGCGATAAATTAAGGGCAGGGGGATGGGTATCATGAGTGGATGGGGAGTGGCGGAATTTCCAAAATTTGTTATCTTATTGGAGTTTGTCTAAGTAGACAGTCGTAGTGGAAGTGGAAACAGGGAAGTTGTTGTCCATCTCAGTTTAAGCATAGACTTTTTATAGGCGTTTCATTCCAATGCATGTAATTCCTATGCCTAGAGATCAATTGCCGGGCCTGTATATATTTTTACTTGGCACATATTATGGGATTTAACAGCTTATTGCCCCGCAGATTTTATACATTTTGTAGGGACCTGTTAGACCCACTACAATATTGTAAAACCTAAAAATTAAGAAATTGGCGCTTATTATGTTTTTCCCCTGGACCCTTCAATTATTATGAGGGTTTTGAATCCATCAATAATAGACATTCTCAAAATATTACATACATATGTACCTATCAACCTTAATGAAAATTATTGCCAATTTAATTTTTCGAACCTACACTTAAAAATACAATATAATCGAAAAAAAACGGCATCTGCGATGGATATGGCTATGACATGAAGTTTGCTGTCATTTTATATATAAAATTATATGAGGAATGTCATTGATGTTCATTCCCAAGCAATCTGGGATATTGTCTTAATTCTTAAAAAAATTGTTGTGCACTATGTGCGCATATTTGAAGTGAAACTTCTTACTTCCGTCTGTCTGTCTGCCCATTTGTCCGTCTGAGGTCTCCATTCGGGTACCTCTATCTACGTGCCGAGTTTGATTCCTCGACTCACAAGTAAAAAAATCCTGATGATTTTGACAGGCCATGGTCCAATCTATCGACATGCCAAATTTCATTTCATTCAAATCGGACGATTTTTTGATATGATTCCTCCTTGAGCCCCATCTACATTCCGAGTTTCAGCTCACATAGGGCCCGAATTACGACGCTCCAAGATCGTTACCCCTTTTCCTCTCGCGTTTCGTGTGTCACGACCATGTCGGCTCGTGTGTCAAGGTCATATTGGCTCGTGTGTCAAGGCCATGTCGACTCGTGTATCAAGGCCTTCAATTTTTATTTTCTTCTTTTTTAATTAATCTATTAAAGTTAGCACTTATACGAGTGAAACAAATTCTGAATAACTTCTAATATTCTCCACTTCTAACTCTCTAACTTCAGTGATTATTCACGAATAGTAATTTTAATTTATTAGTAAAATTGAAATTCAAATGAATTTTATTATCTTGACATTATATTTTATTTAGAAAAAAGAAATTAATTAGTTTCAGTCAATCAGGATATGTAACTATTCACATGCGCACTCATACAGGAGCACGTCCTTATGTATGTCATGTATGTGGTAAGGCATTTTCTGGATCCAATACCCTCACACTTCACCAAAGAATCCATACTGGTGAGAAACCTTACAGTTGCGAGATGTGTAATAAGAATTTTAGTCGTCACGAGACTTTGGTCATCCACGTACGGTAAATTTGTAATTTCTCCATTAAATAAATAGTTTAAATATGATATTAATTTCAGATCTCATACTGGGGATAAGCCACATGTATGTATCGTGTGTAAGAAGGCTTTTGCATCATCTGGACAGTTATCTGGGCATATGAAAACGCATACGGGTGAAAAGCCATATACTTGTGAAATTTGTGGTAAAAAGTAAGTGTAACTTATCCTAATATTGTAGATGAAGTAAATCAAGTATTTAATTATTTTTATTCAGATTCTCTGGATCAAGCAGCTTAAAGGTACACCTGAAGTCACATCAGATACCAGATATACAAATAGTACAATATACGTGTAAAATGTGCAATAAGAATTTTGCTGATGATACCACATTCAATGAGCATATTTTGGAAGTTCACACTATACAAGCGCCAGCACTTCGAACAACCGCAATACAAATTAAAGAAGATTTAGAAAATATAGGTGACATACAGATTGCTGAAATTATGTAGGTTTTAAAAATACAATCAATTCAGAATTCATATTTGAATTTTTCTAGTACTGCAGATGATCAGACCGTGCAAGCAATAAATTCAATATAGATGGAAATTTTTGGATACTGTTAGGTTTTTGTATATAATGTAAACAATATAATGTATATTATGTAATAAAATATGAATTATTTTACATCAAAAATTGTTTTAGAAAATATTTATTTCAGTTAAGTTTAGAATAGACATAATATTCTGGGCACAAGTAATAAAAAATAGGTATTTAAATAAAATTGAAAATAGATAAAAAAATGTATTCGTTACTAAAAACAAATAAGAAAAAGATTAATTAGTTTTGCTTAAATTAAAAACATTTATATAAACAGTCCCTTTGAAAGTTATTTAACAGATGTTTTAAACCTTTCTAATCTAGCAATTTTGGCTGCTTCTGAATCTTTTATTGTGTTATTAGAAGTAGCAGTTATGACGCCAAATCGTTGCTTTCTCTTCTCCATTTTTTCTTGTTTTTCTAAATCGGACATTACACTTGAAACAGACACACCAAAACGAGCTGCTCTTTGTTTCAATACATCAACATCAGCTTCCTAAAAAATCAATATTTACTACCACCATTATATATGAATAAAAACTTCCTTTGGATACCTTGTTTCCAGACTTTATGCTACTTGCACTAAAATCTGTTGGGTTTGCTCCAAATCTTTCAGCTCGAACAATTTTCTTTGCATCATCACTTAAAGCTGTGACACCAAACTTTTTTGCTCTCATTTCTAATCTCTAAAAGCAACACACATTTGTTAAACAGTTTATTTGCAACCTATAACAAAATTTTACCTCTTTGGCTGAAAGTTCTGAAAATTTAATAACTTTCTTATCTTCTATCTGTTGCCCATTTGGAGTTGTGTCTTCCTGAACTTCATTATTTTTTTCATTTGCAGTTACAGCTTTACTGGTTAATGTATCACTATTATTTCGTTTCAAAATAACCTTTTTAGGAGGTCCATCAATATGGGATTTATCTGTTCCGTCAAGTTTTCTTTTCTGTGCTTTTGGTGAATCGTCCAAGTTATTATCTAGCTCGTTAATAATCGAATCCCTTTCATCCAGATGTTCATCGTCATCTTCTTCCTACAAAATAAATTAAAATTAGTTTAAATTACTTGCCTTGTAACAGACATTAACATTTAGAAGATCCTCTTCAATTTCATCAATTAATTCTGGATTCGTCGGGGATCTTATTGCCGCTTGGAGTCTTTCCACTAAATCATTTTTATTTCCGGTAGTGCTTAGTCCTCTATTTTTAAGTTCCTTTTTCAGATCTGGAACCTAACAACGAAAAAATTCCACTAATTTTCAAACAATAAAAAATATGTTGACTAATGTAATTCTTTACAACTATTTGTATCAATATTAAGAATAGCCAGTATTATATTAGTATTTCATAATTTACTTATATTTACCTTTAATTTGGAAATATCTAGAGCAGAACTTTCTTCTAACGACTCGTCCGCCATTTTCGGATTTCGGACTGTTTCGCACATTTCGCAGCTGTTTCGGTTCGGATTATGTTCGTTTGATGTTCGGATACCTTAATTTAATTTACTACAGATTAGAAAAATATAAATCGACCAAAGACCATAGTCAATTAAAAATTTTCAGGGTTGTTATCACATGTACAGCCCGATTTAATATAACATCATATAAATTATATATGATAGTGGTTTATTAATTTATTTTTTCGTCGTAAATAATGTGTACTCTGTATTATTTCGGTCTTGCTTTATCTATATATTGTTCAAAAACTGGTCGTCTAAGTTAAAATAATAATGCAGACATATTTTAACTAGTGATCATATTCACAGCTAGTGATTGTCCATCAAAAATTAAAAATTTGTTTATCGCTAACTTCACTTGACAGGTCGTTGACTTCCTTCTGTCAAAAATCGTAACATTCTCGAACAAACTTCGTACTAGTTAATACAATATGGCGTCGTGTTTTTCGTCGTGAGTGGACTGCGAAAAATGTGTGCAGTATTTTCAGAGTTTCTACTTGTGAAAGTTGTGCTTTTTTTGTAAATAATGAGTTCATTACAATATGTTGTACATCCTTTGCCCGGAACTGAAGAACAGTTCAACGACAGGTATGAGTTTTTACTATTAAACACTCCGGTAAAACTATTGCCATGGAGGTCTCCATTTTCGATTTAATGTCGTTTGTATGAATTACATCAACTAGATAATTTTGTGTCGGTAAATTTGGTTTTCATTTAGTTGTTCGAGACTCTATGTATATTATTATTAGGTATGGTTGAAAAAATAGAAAATGGTTTAATTTGTAACATAAGTATCATTGAAATTATTAGAATGATTGGGTATACTCGCCGACATATTTAATGAACGGTTTTCATGCTATTTTTCCTATACTCCAGTCAAGTAATCGAAACCACGTTATTGTAGATTTTACTTTGTTAATAAAAACGTACTATGTAGGTAATTGTTGGTATTTAACTCATGTATACTTTTGTGTCTTCAATTTAGTGTCATTTGAAGAATAAAAATTTAATTAAAGTATGTAATATAAATTCTGTCACTCTACCACCTTAATCAAATAATACCAGAGATAATACTGATCGGTATGTTTTATGTAGGTATGATATTAAGCAATAGAAAGATTTGATTTAGTTTTTTTCAATTACAAGGAGATATTGGTCCTACTGGTAATCGATTATTACTATATTAAATTTTATTTCTTTCTAATCCTTCTTTCTAAAGCACTTATAATTTTTGTTCATTGTCAAGTTTCATTTGTTTGTTTAGAAATGTTTCATTGTTAAATGATAATCAGTTGTCTTAACCCAACCTGAGTTTTCTAGATATAAAAATTGAAAATATTCATTATTAGCTAAGAAATTATTGAAATATATTTTTTTTTCAATAACTTTAGGCTAAAGGAAGTTGCTGACAGAATCAATCGCTTAGGACTCAACTTACACCCAGCTTTGTCAAACCTTCGAGTGGGTATAAAGAAGATCTGCATCAGTTCAGTTTATATTGCTTTGCTTCTAGAAGATGGTCGTATTTGCAGAGTATCTTATAATATTCTTTCTGATAGATTAGATTTGAGTAAAAATGATTCAAAAAGGTGAGTTAAAAGAGCATTCAGTGTATTTTATAGTTCATAAAGTTCTAAATTTAAAGATTTATATTTTCCATAAATGAAAGAAACAATATCTTAGAGAGATACTTTTGTTAACAAATTTAAATATAATTCTACTTGAACATAAAAAAAAACAAATAAAACTTCATTTAGGTATACTGGCCAGACTTTGCTAACAATGACTCAAGTTTAATATTTCTATCAATTTTATTTTAGCAAATAAATAACTTCGTTTTATATTTAAAATAAAGTTTTAATCAAGACATAAATACATTATCTTACCTAAATATATTAAGTAATTTAAGTTAACATTCCCTTCTTGCTGCTAAGGCTAACCTGGATGGGGCCTACTTTGTTTACCCGCAATCTGAACTGCGGTCCTCGGCCATATCATTGTCAATGAATTACCGACTTGGCGAGTGTCTAAATCAACTCTTTTTCAAACATTCCCTTCGTGCTGCTAAGGCTAATCTGGATGGGGCCTACTTTGTTTACCCGCAATCTGAACTGCGGTCCTCGGCCATATTGTCAATGAATTACCGACTTGGCGAGTGTCTAAATCAACTCTTTTTCACAAGATATCTGATCTCATCTCAAACCTGGCGTGAATGGGCGGTGTTTGTCAATAGATTTTACACTTTCAATGGAACAACAGTTTCCAGATGGCCACCCGTCCATCCACTTTTATCGTTTAATGTCGCTTAACTTTTTTTTCCCCAACACGGAGCCGTCCTCTGCCGGAAACACTGCGACCTGTGAGGCCTATTGTGTTTGTCCCCTTTCTATATCTGCACCCATTCTGATATACCTATACCCTGCACTAACTTATGCAGGTCCTTGATAGGATGGGAGCATAGTTCCTCCGATTCTAGCCTAGCTTTCCCAAATAAAAAGTGTCGCTTGCGATCCAGAGCTTCGCAGTGACATATTATGTGCTCCGCTGTTTCAGGATTTTTATCGAAGAGTATGCAGCAAAGACTTCCTTGATACAGGTTGAGCTTGTTCAGGTAACATTTGACAGCCATGGGTCCCTTCAAGAGGCCTATTGTAATCCGCACTTTATTCCTGCTAAGCATTGGCAGTTCTTTTGCGGCTTTAGAGCTAGGTCCATGGATGGTCCTGTGCCTGTGCCCCTGTCTGTTTCTCCAGTGGACATTCTGCTTTTCCCTTATCCAGAGTTTGAATTTTTTTTTGATTTAGGCATTTGCCTAGTCGGTAGGCCATTGACCATGATAGGGTCGAGAACCGCGGTTCGGATTCCGGGTAAACAAAGTGGGCCCTATCCATATTAGACTCAGCAACAAAAACATCACATATCCAATTGGATATTCATTGAATTTTCTCAACAAAACTTTGCTGCAAAATCCGACTACATCAAATTCAACAAAATCTTAATACATAGTATAGAGACTCCATAATCCGAAGAACGATAATCTTAACTAACGCTTTTCTGCACACGACATCGACAATCATCGTTATCGGTAAGTTACGACAGCTCTCGGTACGTACGCCCAATGAGCGTCTTGTTAAGGTAGTATTTTAATATAGTAAGGATCGGTATCTCTACCGTCCCCTTCTTAACTCCACAGTAGAGATACCGATAGTCGTCGGTACAAATTTGCCATATGTCCTATTAATGACAGCTAAAACTATGACAACAATAATTAACGACGATGCTCATTGGTCGTGCTTCCCGATAGCTATCGGTAACTTACCGATACCGACGATTGTCGATGCCGTGTACAGAATAGCGCTCCTGAGAATGAATTTCTTGTGAACGCGAATGCTTGGAAATTTTGCAGTATAGGCCAGTCAATGTGGAGGTTGAGGTAGAAAAAATTAGTAACCAACCGATCTCAATGGGAATGTGTAGATAATGATCTCCTATTTAACCCCTCAAAAGTCCCATTCGGTCCCAGTGGGGGAAGTTTGAAAAAAACAGCCGCCATCTTGGATTTTTTCGTTTTTTTCAAATATCTCCGTTTGCATAACTTTTTTCGAAAAAAGTAAAGAAATGTTTCTTGTAGAGAATTAAATTTAGAATATTCTACCTTCAATCGTTTTTTTCTAAAACAAATAGTTATAGAGATAGAGCAATTTTCCAGTTTTTTTAAACCAATCAGCTATAATTTTTGCGAAGTGTAGTATTAATATATGTATATAAACCAAGTATAAATTTAAGCATTAAAACAATTACAAATAACATTTAAATATTATTTATTAAACAAAATTATTGTTAAAAACATTATTATTAAATTAAAGTTATTAATTAAAATCTGCTATGACGTCATCCTGAGCATCATATTCGTCCTCAACTAAAATACAAAAGTTTGTGCAACTGATTCCGTAGCACAGACCACACTTTTGAAGAACATTTAAGACCCAGTTTTCTACAAGAGCAATTTTTAAAGCACTCACTCTTTGCAATTGCGAAAAATTAATTTTAATAGGTCAGGAGGCGCCACATCGTCTGTTGCTTAAATAGGTGTCAGATTGCCTTTTTGATCTTTCTCCCATCCATACTGTAAAGGATCTAACTTGTTACCAATCCATTCTTGAATCTAAAAAGTACAACTTATGACATTTTCTCTAATAGATATATCTTTACAGTTACCTGAAATGCAATTTATAATGATCTTTGGAACCTATTTCGAAGATAAATCAAGTAAGTAGGTATACCTGTATACGTAGCGGCAAGGGATGCTGATTTTCTTATCGCCTCAACAGCTGTGGAATTATCTATGTCATAAAAATATGTCCATGCCTCGTCCGGGAAAAGCAGCAAAAGATATAATAAAAAATAAAATATCTGAGCTACAAGACAAAATGGCACATTTAAAAAAAAACAGATATTGTTTTTACATTCTCTCTTGGGCTGTGATACTACCTCCTTTTAATTTATAAAAATAAAAAGACTGTGCCTGTCGGTACTGAAAAAAGATAACGATCTTTGTCAATACCTCGACGTATTTTTAGAAATAAAAAATGCTAACTAAGATGACTTGTTTCAGTCAGGATTATCTTTTAAAGCTATATCTCTCTCTCTCTCTCTCTCTCACTGCCCAAGCTATATTAAACATATTAACCATCTGAGATACACTCTATACAATAGGATTACATCAAGACAAGCCCTTAAGACTACCTTTATCTCCGCAAAACTACATTTACTCAGGACATATTTTCAGGCAACTGTAAAGATAATATCTATTATAGAAAATGGTATAAGTTGTACTTTTTAGATTCAAGAATGGGTTGGTAAGAAGTTAGATCCTTTACAATATGGATGGAAGAAAGATCAAAAAGGCAATCTGACACATATTCAATCAACAGAAGATGTCCTGACCTACTTAATTAATCTTTTGCAATTCCAAAGAGAGTCAGTGCTTTAAAAATTGCTCTTGTAGAAAACCGGGTCTTAAATGTTCTTCAAAGCGTGTTCAGTGCTACGGAATCAGTTGCACAAACTTTTGTATTTTAGTTGAGGACGAAAATGACGCTTAGGATGACGTCATAGCAGATTTTATTTAATAACTTTAATTTAATAATAATGTTTTTAACAATAATTTTATTTAATAAATAATATTTAAACGTTATTTTTAATTGTTTTAATGCTTAAATTTATACTTGGTTTTATTAACACTATACTGTTAACACAAAAATTATAGCTGAATGGTTTAAAAAACTGGTAGATTTATAAAACGCATAGTAAAAAATTGCTCTATCTCTATTACTATTTATTTTAGAAAACAAATGATTAAAAGTAAAATATTCTAAATTTAATTCTCTACAAAAAACGTATCTTTAGTTTTTTCGAAAAAAGTTATACAAACGGAGATATTTGAAAAAAAAACGAAAAAATCAATGATGGCGGCGGTTTTTTTCTAACTTCCCCCACTGGGATCGAATGGTACTTTTGAGGGGTTAAATAGGATATCATTATCTACACATTCCCGTTGAGATTGGTTGGTTACTAATTATTTACAATATGATGAAATTCGTTCATTGCGTTCGTGATAATTTTGTTTGATGGTTTGCCGAAAAACCGATATTGCTCAGAACCGCTGCACAAACCATCTCATCGACGCCTCAAATCAAAGCATTGACGAACTGTATCAGCGCATGAGTATGGGGCTGCGAATGAATTGTAATATTCGCCACTTGTTCCCTCGGCTTTAGATTTGTGAAAATAAAATATTTTTATTGATATTCCATAAAAGGAATGAAATTTTTTCATCACATTGTAACTCTCTTGCGCAAATAGGAGCTATTCGATGTGTGTTATCAGTAATATATGGATGAACTTAAAATCAGCAAGTTTTTGGTTTAGAGGTGGGCCAGTCTGCGATTTTTGTGGAGCTGCTACGCTCTGCGACTGCTCCAATAAAAGCACTGTGACAAGTAGCAGCGATTTTTCGGAGCAATTAACCTATAAATTAAAAATGTAGTTTTATAGGTTAATTGCTCCGAAAAATCGCACTCGGTGTTCGGCACCGTTCGTTGCATTTACTAAAAAAGTACAGGACTATAGGTGTGATTATGATAGGCAACATCATCGTCTAGTTTTTATTTATTTATATCATATGATCGAAAAAACGGCGTAGCGATAGCTATGAAATGAAGATTGCTGGCATTTTATATGTAAAATTTATGGGGAATGTTATCGATTGTCATTTCCAAGCCAACTGGACGCCGTTTTTTATTTCGATCAGTAGTGGCGATTTTAACGTCTGTGCAATCGGGGTAAGTCACCGACGGGCCCCAAGCCTCCCGGGCCCTTGCGAACAAGATTCGAACTTTTCCGAACTACGGGCCCCTAGAGCTCTTAAAATCGCGGCTGTACGGTACTATACTGATGTCTTAGTTTGATAGATGTTGCTATATTTTTTTAGTCTATTCAGAAGAATTTGAGTGTTTCTAAGTACCAAGCACTTTGCTATAAATATCTTAAAGAGTCTGTTCATTTTCACAGAGTGGTGGCCCATGGTAAAAACTTAATGTTATATTCAATTCAAAGTCGAAACTGTCAAAAAAATCTTTATTAGTGACCGGTTTCGGCTATTTAGCCATCATCAGACCTTAAAAATAGATATAAATAATAAAACTTATATGAATGTATAAGATCAAATAAAAGATTTAGGATATACAACAAAACACAGATACAAAATTAACTAACAAATAAACATACTAACAAGTTAAAAATTACCTTTGTCAAAAACATCTGTTTGTGATTAATATATAATACATAAATATCTTATTTAGATTCATGAAAGAAAAAGCGAACGCTGCTACGTTTCCCGTTCCCAAACTCCCAACAGCTCCAGTACACAGAATATACTCAATATACTATGCTCCAGTCGACTGCGACCTGCGACGACTGTGACTGGAACAGTCTGACCGGGCGACGGGGCTAGGAGCATTTTCAGAATTTACACTATTGCCTGCTATTGCTCCTATTGCTACTCACGAGCGCAGATGTCCTAAACTTGTAAACTGCTCCGAAATGTCACTGCGATTTTCTTGGAACTGGAGCAGTCACATACTGCGACGTTGGTGGAGCTGTGACAAAGTAGCGGACTGCGATTTCACAACCCACCTCTATTTTGGTTTGACTTTGTTTAAAAGTGACATTGCTTCGGCGATGCGCGACACTTCTGCTGTTCGCGAACATAAACGCACAAGGTTAGCGTGCACACATAACCGTTTACACTTGAGCATTTGTGGTGGATCAGTGCAATCGTGTTCTGGTCTAAACGCATATTTATATTGCGCAACGATGCGATGATTTTGGTTGCGCTTTTTTTATGGGTTGGAACCAACCCATTATTTTGTAATCCTGTCTAATCACTATATTTATCAGTAAATTTTAACACACATTTTTTATACAACCAAAGGTCTTGGTTGTTGCGTAGCACTGGAGGTGCCGGAAATGGGGGTTCAGGCAATGGTGGCTCTGGAGGAGGCTCTGGTGGTGGCGCTGGAAATAAACCTGCAGGAGGGGGCAGAGGTTGCAGGACCCGAGCGAATTCAAGATTGATAACAGGTCAAAGAAGTAATACAGCTATAAGAGGTGGCAGTAATAGTGGTAAATATAATTAATTTATTTGCTTTAGTACGGAGTGATTGATGATCTTGATTATGTAAACTAATTAGGCATAGGTGATTGAAGAAACTATTTATTTAGGTAATATAAAATAAATGATAAATTCGGATGCAAAGTTTAATGGACGCGATTAAAAGTGGATTTGTTAAAGTTTATTTTTTGTATATCATCTTCAGAGTTATAAAAATGGTGAATCGAATATAATAATTATTAAAAAATGGTGAATGGTTATCGACACTATATTTTTCGGCAACCAAACCATTATTATCATAATCTGAAAGAACATAATACTTTTGCAATTTTAAAATTTGTCTTTCTCGATGGGTTTAGGAACCACAGAGTTCAAAGGCTTATTAATGGATTAGAATCTTTCCGATTATAACAAAGAATTTGCATGGTCGGAAAAAATAGGTTTGGTGTCTACATTCCCCATTTGGCATGGATATAGTCTTTATGGCAGATTAATTTAGCAAATGAATTTTTTACAGGCCAGTTTACATGTATTTGAATGAATCGCATATTAAAAGTCTAGGGTTAGACAGAAATGAACAACGCTTTCTTCTTTTCCACCTCCATTATGACTGACGCGTTAAACAAACTCTCCTCTCACATTTCTGCAGTACATCTGCCAAACCGGTATATACAAAAATATGTATTAACTTGTCCGTTTTTGAATCCATTAACCAACTTGCTATTTCTTTATTATTAGCACAAGGCGCTAGGGTTGAATCGCCATACAATATGATCTAAATAGAAGTTTTATGATTAAGTGTACTTTGTATTATGGCAATAAAAATTGTAGAAAATTTCAACAAAGTCTAGGTCCATTTAATTATAAAACTCTTTGATTAAGATAATTAGTACTTCTTTCTAATTTGAGCACAAGTGATGGCTGACATTGCGGATGCTTGACTCTATTTTTTACTCGAACAGATTTTTTTTATTTATAATTTTTTAAAGTTAATTACATAGTAACCATTACATGAATCATGTCTAAAAATACTTTCAAATATTTACATTATTTTTTTTTACATTATACTATTTTATCAGAGACTTCTGAAGAGTTGCTGCTTGCTAAGCATTAAGTTAAATTTCGCCTATTCCAAATTCAAATCTACTTTCGTTTTTTTGTAAAATATGAGTAACAAATATGTTATAATAAAGCTTTTCTGTCTTAATCTATTAAGAAAATAGCCAATTTATATATATTGTCTATCTAAAATATCTATTTTCTGTCATTATACATCATGTTGATTCCAAAAGTAATGGATAATTCAATTGAGGTACTTTATATTATCTAAGGAGATTACATTATTGTAAAGCCCCTAGAAAGACAAATCCCAATCGCTTTTGATTTATATCTCACAAATTCACTTTTATCAATAATTATAGTCTATAAAATGAATAACTTTGAATTTTGACCGTTATTTTTTACCAACATGGCAAATATAAAATCCCTCTATCCAAAAAGTTACTGATATTCTTTAAAATGAGTGCCTGAACGAATCAGATAGGTAACTCTTTTTACTTTCGTGAAATAGAAAAGGAAAATAATAAAACAAGTGACAGTTCTTCCTCTTCTTGCAAAAATCAACGTGAAATGTCATAATTGACAAAAGTAAAATGTCATCAGCTTTTGACATTTCTAAATATCAGACCAATGCCGTTTCTAAAAGAACAACCTCGGAGCGAGATTTATGACGTCACGCTAGTTAGATACCACGGATTAATAAATATGTTGTAGAATACATGGAAAACATAATTATTCCTCGTATTTTTTTCCTCGTTGGTTTGTATTTTAAAAATGATATAGTTTACATGAAATATACATAATATACAGTTAATAAATACAATATATATACCTATTTATAGTAATAAATACTTTGGCAAATAAACTATGAACCATACAAATGCAGCAAATGTTTTACAATATACAAATAATGAATAGGTACATAAGATAATGAATGAAATGTAAAATATACTTTAAATTTTGGGGTTTGAAAATCGATCTAATTTAACAAAAAACATTCAATATCTACTAATAGTGATGTATTATTATTTGCATTCACAAAATTTATATGTATATTTTGCAAGCATTAATGTTCGAAAAATTATATTTGCAAATAATACAATATAGAAAAAAAGGCGTCAGCGATGGCTATGAAATAAAGATCGCTGTCATTTTATATGTAAAATTATTCTAAAATTTTTGATTTTCTTGGGATTTAGGTTCGGGAAAAACGCTGATTAAGTTTTCATTTGGTTTTTCATTTTTTGGTTAAAGAAAAAACATAGCTAACATTTATAGCCTTCATCAGTGTTGTGTCATATGAAAAAAATAGTGTCGAATATAATCCAAAAAATTACATATGCGAGGAATAATTATGTTTTCTATGTACTTATTCTACAACATATTTATTAATCCATAGTATCTAACTAGCGTGACGTCATAAATCTCGCTCCGTGGCTGTTCTATTAGAGACGGCATTGCATCAGCATGGCCGCAAGTTGCTAACTATGGAGGGCTTAAAAGACTCCATATTACTAACCTAATAAAACTAACACTAGAAAAGCCCGCGGGGACTGTCAAATTCAAAGTTATTCATTCGTTTCACAGACTATATCAACTGGTGTTCCATCTGGGGTTCCACCTCTATACACAGACATGTCAGTTCTACTGATATCTATTTGACTGGCCTTTTTCTGTCTTCATCCAATCCCTGAGAGATGGTGCCGGACGCTCTATTTTTCTAAAATTTCTAGATGATATAAAAGTACCGCTATTTTTACTCTATTTTAATTCCACTTAGAAGCGGCAAATTTTGGTCCTTTTCAACAATGCTGATGATTGATAAATTACATAAGAAATCGCAAAAAATAAACTCAGTTTGAGAAAATATATACAATTATTCTTTACATTTTATTTCTGTCAGACAATTGCAATGATATTTCGGTAGTCTTATTCCGAGAGTACTGCTATTGACTGACTATTCCCAAGTTACATAAAAAGAATTAACTTAATTTTTTAAGGAAATATCTACTTTTGATCGAGGAATTATTTCTTAGGAAATAATTCCTAATTATTTAATTTTTTTAGGAATTAATTATAAGGAAAATATCTACTTTTGACATTTGACTAATATTAAAATAATCTAAAATCTGGTTATTTTTTAAAGTAGGTAGCTAACTCATATATTTTGTATGCTAATAGGTAGTCGAGGTAATCCAGTCATTATAGGAACTTCTACTTCGGGTAGTGGTCGTCCTATGGTAACAGTACCCGCTCCATACGTCCCAGAGGAATTAGTCTCGCAAGCCCAAGTTGTTCTGCAGGGAAAGAGCAGAAATTTGATTATTCGCGAATTACAGGTATGTTCTATGCTTCTTTCAAAAGTGTAATCTTAGATACAAAAAATAATTTAGATATTATATACTAACTGTGTAGTTAACAAAATTATAAATAATTTAAGTGGTATATTAAGTGAAAGTACAGTAAAATAACGTAAATATAATATTCTGTATACTCAAAGAGATTTCCAGTGATTAGTATTCCATATCAGCAAGAGAAGTCTTAGTCGTGGGTCTGTATCTCCATGTGTTGGAGTGAATTGCTATGGCGATTTTGTAGGTCAGAGAGAGAGAAAAATGCGAATCGTTTATTACATAACCACTTAATCCGACGCTAAATTTAATGTGTTTGGGAAAATACTAGCTCTTTTTTATTCATTTCATCTTATTGTTCTAAGCATTTTGACTTGTTACTTCATACACAGGAAAATTGACACCCATAGCTAGAAATGCCGATTCGATATATGAATGTCTGAATATTGACTCTTTGTCTATTATTTAATTAATTTAGATTATTTCTCTCGTTTTTGTATCTTATTCAATTTTAATATATTTTCGCGAGTAGTGTTAGGGGGAAACCTCGGATTTACTTCTTTCCTCGCCAAACCTTGGCTTACCACGGGTGATTTCCACTCTGTTTCGGAATTTGCGACAGTTATTTGCCAAGGTTCGTCGCAACATAAGAAACCTATTCTTACGGCTTTCAGTTTTTTCTCAACGCCATCTTTTTTTTATTGAAACATTACTAGAATTTTATTTTATCCATTTAGAGAACAAATCTCGACGTCAATTTGGCTGTAAACAATCTTCTATCTCGTGACGACGAAGAAGGAGAAGAAGGTGACGATGCCGCTGACTCATACGTGCCCGAAGATTTAATCTCATTACTTGACGGCGGATTTCATTCAGATCATTCGGTTATTATCGATGCGGATGCTATGTTTTCCGAAGATATGTTTGGATATGCTGGAATTAGAAAGTAAGTGATTCATTTCAGTTTGTATTATGTACATTGTGCACTATTTACTTAAATTTGAAATAAAATATCTTTTTGGACCAGCATTGTCTTTAATGTTGACATTTTACACTACGTTTTGACTTGTATGGTATCACAAGCAGCGTTGTTTTAAACATTTCATTTTTAAAAAGATGTTTTTAAAACACTATTGCTTGTTTTAAACTTCTTTTAGACATTTCTTTAAATCTAAATAAAACATGTTTTAAACATCTTTTTTTTCAATAAAAATAAAATCAAAAACAAAAAGCGCCATTCAACTCTATTTTTTACCACTTTCAAATTACTTAAATTAATTTTTAGCCGTGGAACCAGTGGACGTAGCGGAAGTCGTTTGCCGGATAGAGACGTTCCACCAGGAGGTGCCGGAAGTAACAGCTCAGATAGAGACAGAGAAAATTTCTCTAGATGGCGAGATAGGCAGTACTTCGGTCCACGAAAATGGTTGGAGTCGGCGTTGAGAGAAAATCCTTACGAAAAAGACTCCGATCAAAAGAAAAAGGAGAGTTCTTGCCCATTGTGGATATCAGATGATTTAGAATTTTGGCCGGAGCCGGCACCAAAGTTTAGTCAAATAGCCACATTATATAGTGAACTGATAGCACTTTCAACTAACGGACAATTGTATCAGTGGAAATGGAATGAACATGAACCTTATAAACATCCAGAGGTAAGATCATTTTAAATATTTGTTAAAACCACTTTTCCATTACCTTCTTAACTCTTCTCATAACCATATTTTTGAGCCATTCATTTTTGAAAAGCATTTTTATTTGATGTATTATATTTTGCTGGAATTCCTACTATATTTTATTTACAGGATTATGTATACATCGTCCAATAAGTATATCATTAAGTTTGACTAATTAGAAAGTAGTTCATTTGTCCGTTTGCTTGACTGGTTCTTTTGCTACTGCAACAGACGTAGGCCATTCTAAATATTTGTCATAAAGACTTTTCAATATTTAATAAAAAAAATACTTTTTAACTGATATGACCATATTTTAAACTTGTTAATTTTTTAAAACCTATTTCTTATAACTATTTAAGACATATTTTTATTTGATTTTAAATGTTATATTTTGCTGAAATTCCTGCATTAGTGTATTTGCAGAATCTGAACATACATAATCCGAAAACTACACCAATAAGTTTCACTAATGAGAAAGCAGTTCACTTGTCCGTTTTCCTCGACCCGTTTTTTTACTACTATAACAAGCGTAGGCCATTCTAAATATTTGTCATAAGGATTTATCATTAATATAATAATAATATATGGATGAGTCTTAAATAAGTGTAAATATTTTCAAGGCTGGAGATGTTGATAAAAGAAACTTATTTTCTCTTTACAGTTTTTCAATAAGTCTAAAATAACCGACTTATTTTACTTTGAAAATTTTCAAAAAAAATGATTTTTTGTTTAAATGTTGAGAACCATTGGTTCTTTTCTGGGTTTTCTTTCTTGTAAATTTAATCTACTACCTATATTTTGTTGCCATATTATCAAGAAATTATGTGAAGAAGAAATTATGAACTAAAAAAATTTCCAAAAATTCTTAATTTTTTAAAAAAAATTCGCGAAAAAAACTCGTAATAGTCGTATTTCTGGGGTCGAAATACAGGGTGGTCCGAATTGTATTCCGGAAACTTCGGCAGCGTATTCTGCAGATAAAAATAGGTAAAAAAGTAAGTGTAAATGTAGATCTTAAAATGCTTAGTTTCAGAGATAGTGGGTGTAAAAATTTCAGTTTTATTTCCATTTTTTCCAAATAATTTCTGAAGTAACGTCAATATTTAGATAAAAATTGGTGTCTGGGAGTTTTTTGACATGAGAAATTTCATTTCAATGTTAATATGACTCCTACTGGTAGAGGGCGCAACCTACATGTGTTTTCACTGTTTTGAAGAATAATAACTATTCGTCCGTACCTGTATAAAAATATACATTTCCGTGGTTTGTACGTAAAAAATATCTCTTTGTAAAAATCGTTACGAGCAAAAAAATGATGATAAAACAGTTTTTGTTGAACTTTTGGTACAAAACTTCAAATTTATGATCTCAGTCTAATAACTATTTAGTCAGCATGTTTAATTTATGTCAGTGATGACAGGTATTGATAATTTCGATTCCAAATACCTCGAAAACCATTACTCCTAGCGATTTTTACTAAGAGACCTTTTTTACGTAAAAAGCGTCGTAAATGTATATTTTTTTACTCAGTAGTTTTATACAGGTACGGACGAAAAGTTATTACTCTTCAAACCAGTTAAAAAATATGTAGGCGGCGCCCTCTACTAGTAGGAGTCATGTTGACATCAAAATCGAATTTCTCATGTCAAAAAGCTGCCAGACACCAATTTTAATCCAAATAGTGACACCCTGTATCTCCAAAACTAAGCATTTTGGACATACATCTATACGAACATTTTTACTTATTTTTATCTGCAGAATATGCTGCCGAAGTTTCCGGAATACAGTTCGGACCACCCTGTATACTAGCCCTAAAAATATTTGCACTTATTTAGGACTCACCCTATAAACCTAATCCAAGTTTGACACCACATACACAGTGAGAAAGTAGTTCGTTCGTACGTAGATACGCTTCTACGCGTACTGTTGTTAATGAAATAGGTATAGACTATTCTAGATATTTGTTATAAGGTTTTTAATATTTAATAGTACCTGAAAGAATACTTTTTAGCTCTATCATGAGGCGCTCAAGGCATAATTTTTGAAAAATATTTTATTAAGGATGCATTTTTATTTTATATGAAACATATTTAGATTGAATTCCTACATTATTATTTTTTTGCAGAATCCTAACATACATCATCCAAAAACTATACCATTAAGTTTGACCAACGAGAAAGTAGTTCATTTGTCCGCTTGCTCGACTCGTTGTTCTGTTGCCACTGAAACAGGCAAAGTTGCGACATGGTTAGATGAGCTTTTGGCTCCTGCTTCAAACAAATTAGAACATGCTGCTCAAGCCTATAACGAATTTCAAAGTGATAAAATCGTCGCTTTGCATACATGCCCATTGTATACTGTTGCGAAGCTAGATAGTGGAGCTTTGTATTGGTGGTAAGTTGGCATTGAGAGATTTCCAAACATTTTTTGATTTTATTATGTTTCTCCTTTAGGGGAGTTTTACCATTTGTTCAAAGGAAGAGGCTTTGGGAAAAATATCGAGCAAAATGCAGAAAACAAAGGCCTTCTGCAAGTCAATCGGAAATTGTAGCCGGTTCTCAAGTTTGCATGAAGAATAGTCCGATGTATCAACCTGGCGCTGTTGGTAAGTTCAACATCAGCGAAGTCTCACTGTTATCACGTTTTTATCTTCTAAAATGTATTGTTTTCAGTTCATTTTGAATTAAAAATATTGATCTTTTATGAAAGTAAAAATATTAATAAACATAATAAAAGACGTATTTGGCTCTTAAACTTTCTTAAGCCCCGTTGACACATAACGTTTACCTGACAGTCTTATCTGTTATCAGTCAAAACAAATCAAGTATATCCTTTTGTGTAGACGAAAAAAAACATTTTTTATTATTTTTGTCCATTTTTTTAACTGAATTATGACGGCAGACCGTCTAGAGAACTGACGGGATTATTCATTTTTATAAAATACTAGCGTGTACCAGCGACTTCGTTCGCGTCGAATTAATCATTTGTAATGGTGATGATAAAGCAAAGCAAGAATTTCCATTAACATACAAACTGGATTAAATTTTCTCACATTTATGTCAGCATGAGAAAACACATTATGACGATATTATTATATAACTTGGTAATATTTGAGGGGTAGTTTCATCTCGTTGGAATTTGACTTTCGAAAAATCCGTTTGCCAAAAATAAGCTTTTTACGTCAAGCAGTTTAAGCAGAATCGTGGTTAAGAAATTACCCAACTTTTTGGAACACCCTGTTTGATTTTTTAAAAAATTTCAAAATATGTAAAAAAAAACAAATAATATCGTCGTCTTATATATCGTCGCGATACAGAATGTTTGAAACTGGACTATGAGAATGGATGTAATGGAGAAGATAGGCCCTTCTTCTTGTCCTTTAAGCAGGTGTTGTTCTGTCTTCATCAGTTGCAATTGGTACCAGTTCCACTTTCGAGAACTCTGGCATTGTTCGTATTAAGTCTTCAAGCACAGACACGGCCGGGTATACTGTGAATTATCCTTTAATCTTTGAGAAAAAATACTTTTTTTTTTCATTTAAAATTTAATACTCGCATTTGCAAATATCGACGATTGCAATAATATTTCTAATCTCACTAATAAGGATCTCCAACTATTCTATTTTAATTTTTCGTTACAGGTTTTACCGTTGCTGCGGGTGTTCCGAAAATGGGCCAACTTCAAACTGCCGCGTGGACACTAAGTGATACTTGTACATTTAAAATTATGAATGTACAAACTCCACACACAACCGAAAAGGTCAACAAAGAAGAGAGAGCAAGTACCAGCTCCTGTGCATTATGTAAGTAAAGTAGTTTAACAAGGGGGAACAGGAGAATTAATTCTTGCGCTAAATCTTTGCAACTCATCTTTAATGCATTATATGTTACCATTCTAGATGTAATTAAGAAAGGCTCATCCAACAAGAGGACGGATGAAGCCTTAACTGAACGTAAGTAATCTTAACCCAGAGAAGTTTTGTTACATTGGAATCAGAAAAGAAATATTGTGTTTGAACATATTTTTTTAAATGTTGTGCTGCACTTGAATTGCAATATTTGATCAGTAGTAAACTACTGCTATGACATTGTGGTTTATCCATTAATCTGACTATAGATCATGCCAAATAAACTTTTAGTCACGTGAAAAAATTTTAGGAATCAAAAATTAATTAATTATAAATATATAAACAGTTATTTATTACTTTAACAAAATTTACCTCGTTAAACAGCACTTAAGGGATATAAAGGGTCATTATTACCGCTTTCCCGTTCGAAATGTTCTAATAAGGTTGCATTGAGTTTTTTGCAACAGCTGTTAAGCTGCTTCGGCATCTTGTACACTTCGCACTACAAGCAGTTCTAAAAAGAACAATTTTTGACTGCTAGGTCGGCTAGTAAAGAATGCTAAGCTTAAAGTATTACAACACAATTCTCTTAAACCAAAAACTCTTAATACAAAACTAAAGTTTCAAAAGCATGGAAATGTTAGGTAATAAATAAACAAATGTGGCAACTTGATGCGGCATTTTTTACAGCAGAACTACCATCTGAATCGCCAGCGGGAAATTTAAATTCCAGTTAGTCAGCCTGGCGCCGAATATGTTGGTTGGCAACAATGAATTTAATAATCGCGTCCTCGATGATGTAACTAGAAGTTTATTTGGTATCGATTATATGCAACAGGATCACTAAATTATCAAATTATGTTTATATTGAATTCGTTCAAATTTTATAAAATACTGTAATATTTTTTTACAATTTATTGCATCTGCAATAAAAGTGTCTTAAGACATAATTACTTGAAATATTCTTCAAAATTATATGTATTTATAATAATATTGATACGTATTTCAAAACCTTAAAAAAGTATTTTTATTATAAAAATGGTTTATTCGTATTGTCACGAGTATGTTTGGATATTTTATGTTAAAAGCAAAATTCAATGACAAAGTTGTATACTAGATATTTTTCTATTGCAGCAACTTCCTCCAAAGGCTCTAATAGTAAAGAAAACACTGATAGGCTTGATATGCCTCCACCCCCGTCTCCAGCTTCAAGCACTTGCAGCGATACAGGAAGTACCAGTCATAGTAAGTGAACATCATTATAATGTGAAATATTGTTTACAATCTTTTTATCTGCTGTAGAACGTCAAAAGAAATTGGTAGTAACCGTTGCCGATATAAATACCGATAATCGCAAAGATGAGGAGGAATGGCATCTCAGAGATGTCATTTTCGTGGAGGACGTACGGAGTGTTCCGACTGGGAGGGTACTAAAGGTAGATGGCGCATACGCAGCCGTCCGTTTTCCATCTTCGCACTCCAGGGAGAAAGATGCCGCTAAAGATCTGGATGATATTTTTCAGGACTGTCGGCTGATGCGAAAAGACGATTTACAGGTAAGGTTATTTTAAAAACTGGCTGGAAATAAAAATTAATAGTTAATTTTTAAAGAGAAGAAACATAAATAATTCGGATATGGCGCGTTTTGTTGCAGTAAGGTGCATATTTCGGGTTTTGCTACAGCAAGATATTTGATTTAATATATATGCTATTTTATTAAAATTTGGTAAGGATTTGAAATGGATAAAACGTCAGTAGTAATATTATACTTGTGTAAAAAGCCTACAAAGAAATGCGGGGTTTGCAACAATAATGACAATAAAAAGCGGATATAAGTGGATAAGACAGATTTTGCAGCAGTAACGTAACTTGTAGTGAATTTTATATAGGAATAGGCTACTTTTACTGCAGTTTGGGACTATGATTATGTTGGACCACTGTTAATATATATGTCATTAGGCAATTTTCTTTTAAATGGGTAAGGCCGGTTTTGCAACTTCACGCCTCAAATATCTATCTTAGTTTTAGAATAAATCAGTTGGTACCGGTGTATTTACAGATACTGTAAATGTTTATGTTCTTGTAAAAGAAGTCTAGATGTAGCTCTAGTATGGTAGCTGCCAATGACGTTTAGTATGTCATTATTGTTTATACACGTACTTAAAAAAAATAAACTGAGAAATATGGAAAATAAAGAAAATAATATGTACTGAAATTTACTAATTTTAATAACACAATTCAAATTTGGCCATTTCAGTAACAAATAATAAACAGAACGGTTAGTTACATAATAACACAAGTATTAATTATTGTATAAATACTTATTTAGAAGCAAAAACGAATAAAAAAAGTTACATAATAACACAAGTAATAATTGTATGAATATTTATTTGTAAGCAAAAACGAATAAAACCTTGCAAATCAAGAGAGTTCAAACAAGGAGTTCTTTCTACTACTATTTTTTCAAAGCTCTTATAATCACTATCAAGGATTTTTTATTAAGGAAAATCTATCATTTAAGAAATTTCGACATTAGAAACGCTTTAAATAATATTTTTATTTACATTTAATAAAAAATCAGAAATTTATTTCTGTTCTCACTACCTTGAAAATGGCAAGCTGATATCTAAGATAAATCTACCCAGTTTTCTAAAGATATGTATTGGATAACTTATTTAATAGATTTTGTTTTTCGTTGTGAAAATAACCTGTGAATGTCAATTTTACCATTTATGATAATTTCCGCGTTTAGATAATTGTAGATAAGGTGATTCTTGTCACAGTTAACCTATCGGTTGTTTTTTCTATTTACAACTAATTTTACTAACTACCTTGGTTTGCGACTTTACTATTGCAGTGTCCTACATCAACTAGGATTTACTACTAGTATAGTTTCCTACATGAAGTAAAATTTTCTCATAAATTACATGCCTTAATAAGACCACTGTATAAAGGCAATTCTGTCTTTCTTTTCATTTTATGATAAAAAGAGGGAAGTTAAATATGGAATACTCCCATTATGAATTGTAATAGAAAATTTGATATTTTTCTTCTACGATAGGGAATGTATGTACATAACTTACATTTTACGTAATTCTTACCAAACTAGCTAAACAATCCATTGAAAATTCTATTTTTTTTAATACAGGTAATCAAATCAAGCTCAAACTCGAGAGTACCAGACTGTTTCCAAAGGACACCGCGTAGGATTCAAATTTCTGAGAACGTAGGTCAAATATTAACTATTGCTGTAGATGGTCAAGGCATTCACGCTGTCGTTCGAAATGGAACCAAACTTAGCTATGCTATATTTAATATTAGTAGTGGACGTGTTGAGCAAGATAATCCTTTCCCTAGCGATTCCGCTGCGTTTATGGGACTCTACCCATCTTTGATTAATCTCACCTGTGCAGGCGAAGTAAGTCTTCTTTCTAAACGTGAGAACTTTTTTTAATAATACATTTTCAGAGCAACGATTCAGTGCTAATTTTACGCGATGGGAACAACACCATTTATCCTTTGGCTAAGGACTGCGCTGATGCTATTCGTGACCCGCAATTCTTAGATTTACCACCAGTAAAATGTGTAGCCGCTGGGACGATGGCCTTAACTGGAACAAGTATGAATATGAAAAATCAAGTAGCGATAGTGGTATTTGCGTTGGAACAGCAACTCCTAATGCCGAAAATATTAAGATGCGATACTGAAGGCGTTAGACAGGTGTTAACTCAACTTGACCAGGATAATAAAATGGGGAGTTTTACCAGACCGTCGATTTTGAATGAACGATGCGATGGGAATAGAAATATTTTTCACGCGGTTATTAATATGTGCACTCCTACCTCTAATAAAGATAATGATGATCACTTTATTCAGGAAGATCCTATTCCCACGCAGAGTTGGCCGCCAGAATCTTTTGATGTCGCTTCAGGTAAGTTAAGTTTAATTTCTCAAGGCAAAGTTTGACTAATACTGATTATACAAGCCTGGTCATCCTAAAACAGTGGTTTAGATTTTAAAGTTTAAAATGCAAACTGGATGGATACATTTGGTCTATTTAGCGAAGAATCAACTTATAGTCTTTTACATTGAAATATGTGATCTTAACTAGATATTTATCATATACCGGGTGTTTCTCAAAAGTCGCTCACTCCTATAATTTCTTGATTCTTTCAGATAAACGAGATTTGTTGTTAGGATATGACATAAATTAGTAATAATAACAATTCCTGTTTCACCGGAAATTATTACAACATTTTAGATTTTAAACACATTTTAGATTTCAATCTAGAGTACCACATGGCTGTGTTAAAAACACTAATTTTTAATCAAGGAGCCTTGGAAAATAGATTTGATTGTTAATGTTTTTCGTGTCTTGTTCTGGTCAGTTAAAAGATGCCCAAATCGTATTTTTAATGATATCTCATTTGTTTCAAATGAAGCAAGGGTGATTAGCATATTTGCAAAAAACGTTTTTTTTACAAATAATTTGGTACCACACTCTTGGTATTTTGAGTCAAATTGTCATTATGAACCACATGTTACAATTTATGATATGTCATTCTATTCAGAGTGTTATTTTCTTTTGAATAAAGTAAAAAAAAATACCGACAGTGTCATTTAAAAATTAAGAGTTTTTCTGGTGAAACAGGAAGTGACCGAAAACAACTGAATACGTCAATAAATTCAGATTTATGTCATATACTAACGTACCAAATCTCGTTTTATTTATCTTTTTTTATCATTAGAACACCGAAGTTAAACGACGTAAGGCGATACTGGTGGATGGACGGGTGACCTGTTCGAAACTCTGTATCGTGCTGTTGTCCAAGGGAAAGGTGTAAAATCTATTGATACACACTGCTCATTCACGCCGCGCCGGTTCGAGGCCAAATGAGATCGGATATCTCATGAATTGATTTTTTGAGTGCTCAATAAACTGTGTGCTTAACTTTAATTGTTATTAATTACTCTTTGCTCCTCGAATTAGTATTTTTTTCAAACCACTAATAATTTATTTCACTAAATAGATCAAATCCTACTGTCTATTTGTCAAGTAAAAATGTGGTTTTTTATTATTTTTTTTTGAAGATAAAATATATGAAAGTATATTATTTTGTTGCTGTTTAATCTAACACATACCTTTTATAGGAGACGAAGATAGTATAATGAGCCTAGGAAGTAGCGCAGCGAATAAAAGCAGCAGTCATAATCATACAATGTCGGGAAATGTATTGGAGCCATCAGAACGACGTTCTAATGCCATGCAAATTCTCCATGCATTGCTTTACGAGTCTTCCACGATTGAAAGCGATTTGATTGAATTGTTGTGTTCTAAAGATGCCCAAGGCCAAACTCCATTTATGTTAGCTGTCTCGTCGCGAAGCTACCCAGCAGCTTTAGAGATATTCGAGAGAATAACTAAATTAGGCACACCTCAAGAACGGGAAGAGATGATATTTCCTCAGGGTTCTAATCCAGATCATTCCCCCTTACACGTCTTATGCTGTAATGACACATGTAGTTTTACATGGACTGGAGCGGAGCACATCAATCAAGACATTTTCGAATGTCGCACCTGCGGCCTAACAGGCACCCTGTGCTGTTGTACTGAGTGCGCTAGGGTTTGCCACAAAGGCCACGATTGTAAGCTGAAGAAAACTTCTCCAACAGCTTACTGTGATTGTTGGGAGAAATGTAAGTGCAAGGCACTTATTATGGGTAATCAGTCAGTAAGATTTGAGCTACTTAGCAGGTTAGTCAAAGAGACTAATTTAGTTTGTTTACCAAATTCGAGAGGCGAAAGTATTTTGCTGTTTTTGGTACAAACTGTGGGCAGGCAAAATCAAGAGCAGAGACAATTTAGTAAAAGTAGACCAAGGACTAATTCAAGAAATAAAACCCCGTCTTCTGACATAGAATCCGATATGCCAGAACATGATTTGGAACCACCTAGATTCAGTAGAAGGGCGCTGGAATGTTTACTGTCGGACTGGAAAGCTGTAAAGAGTATGATTATGTCTGGAACAAGAGATCCCAGCGATCAACAGGTAATTAGAATTATTTAAAGTCTGCTAAATACTATATTTGTTTTTTTATGCAATAATATATCTTAATTGAAGTAACATTTAACAATAAAGAATAGCAGGGTCACCTAACATTTTTTTCTGCAAATTCTCAAGTAAATAAAGGGTGACAACGGTAAAGCTTACAATTAGTGGAATAAATTAGTGGTTTCAATTAGCGTAGAAGTTTGTTCCTGTAATTTGATTGTAAGCATTCAGAACATCAAAATTAGTGTTAGTAATTTTCAATTAGTGGAAGAAGTTAACAAACTTTTAACTTTTCTACTAATTATACTTCAAAATTTGCGACGAATGTCATTTTGGCCTTTGATTCCGACCTAACCATTTTTGGTAAAAATAAGTGGAATTGAGCTGGTGTTCGACAGTGGTCGCGCTATTAGAACTCTGAATTCAAAAAATCGATATTTCGAAATCTATTAGAAATAATTGATTGTAGTTTTTTCAAAAACTTGCTTAATATTTCTGCTGTATTTTCTTCGTAAAATTACACGATTGCTAAAAATTGCTATGCTCTAAAAGTAAATTGATGAGTTGTTTACAATTTTTGAATGGAAAGAAACATCCTTATCGAATTTTTCTTATAAAAGATCCGATCAAAATAAAAAAAATGTTTCAATATCTAAAGTGGTTCTTGAGTTATGGCCTGTTATGTGTTAAAAAGTTGAATTTTTAAATTATCGCAATTACTGATGTTTTCTCGTTATAAAGAAATGACACCTTAACGATATCCTTATAATTCCATTTCAGATACGCAGAAACATGTCTAATGATTTTATCTAGTTATCTTTTCGAAAAAAATGTCTTAAAAATAAGTGGTTTGCAATCGTGATTTTACTTTACTTGATAGGGAAAGGCGTACCGGCCACGCCGCAACGGCACCGTCGCATTTCTCTCACTCCGACTTAATAAGATCCCTATGCGATTTACTTCCACACATGTAAATACCAACCCAAAAGTAACAGTTGCCAGCACGGTATACCCAATACCCTATTGTTGTATATCAAAATTGTTAACCTATAAATAATGGTATCAAGATTATTATTGGCCATAATTGATTTTATTAAAAAACATACATGTATGAATTATCGTATGAAATTCACACTAAATATGTTTTATTGAATAATTATTTTATTTTTAGTTTGTTGATCAACCATATGTATCAGGACAGTCTGGAACTACATTGCTCGACAAATTCACTCACTGTTTTCTTGTAAAATGCCAGATGTCAACTGATATTTTAGTAGAAACCTTAATCAAAGAAATGAAGATCTCTGAAAAGAAGCAGGCTGAGTTTGCTAAGTATGTCTTACTACATTATTATAGAAGTTATACTTTATTCTTATGTTTTAATTGTTTTTTTAAATAGATTTGTCGCAAGAAGATTTGTTAGATCTGTGGTGAGAATATTTGTAATATTCAGCATTGAAATGGCTCCAACTTCGGTTAAGAGGCGGGCTTTGAACAATCAAAACCAGCCATTAATAAAGTGCAAACGCATCTTTCAATCTTTGAGTAAACTAGCTATAGAAGAATTGTGCGAAACTGCGGATTCTTTAATTGCACCAGTCAGATTGGGCGTAGCTAGACCCACAGCGCCATTTTCTCTAGCCACTTCCCCAAGCGAAGTTTTAAATGTAAATATTTTAGTTCTTAGTTTTATTTTCTTGTCTGTTCATGTTTTATTTTTTGTAGGGATCTGAAGAGTTATTTTTGGTTGATCCTTTGGCTCCTAGCACTTCTAGACAAAATAGTAACCAGAGTTCTACAGATTCGTTTTCGTACATCGGCGATTCGATCAGGAGATCTCAGGCAGCAAGGGAACTTCTGAACATTGTTGATCCCGAAGGTAATTTGAAGATTAAAATTACATTTGTTCAATACTTATGCACTCTATTTTTTTATCCATTTTATTTAGTTGAATAAGTGTCTAAAGTTCAATTCATGAAAAAAATGTCGATTTTGTCATCCTTTATAACTTGATATGTAGCTTACTACTATTTAACATGCATTTTAATGTAGGTATGGCCATTGATAACGACGATGATGCTGCCTCTGAGCATGAAGACAATCAAGGAGACCGTGAATTAAGTCTTGTAGGTCAAGCGTCATTGGCTGAAACTGAAAATCAAGATCCACCCACCGATCATCAAGAGAGTCGTTTACAGGTATGATCAAGTTAATTGATGGATGATTGATATTTTATTTATTATAATTTTGACATTAGGGAGAAGATTCAGATCCAGAACTGGACTTACTTGCCGAAACTGAATCAGATAGTGATGATAATCACAGTAATCAGGATGCTGCTAGTGCCCAGCGATCAGTGCAGACTGGAGCTACAGCTGGAAGCGATACTGGTAAGTGTTTGTGAAATATTTGATTTTGATTATAATAAAAGATATTTGTTTTTAAAATAGTTTAAATTCGAAATGGCGGTTTTTATTTATTAAACAAATATCTTTTATTCTTATGTGTGTGGAACTATAAATGTCTTATTAGGTGGTCTACTACTATTTCCTGAAGACGAGAGCGGCGAATCTAGTCAGCAAGAGGAGGAGGAGAGTGAAGCGGGTACAGATGAACCCGATAATGAAGATTACATTAATGACGAACAACTCGAGAGGAGAAGGTATGATCACAATGTGCCGATATTTGTTCTATAGAGACCTGGACAATCTAAATCAGTAGTTTGGATTTGAATAACTGGAACAATAACTCTAAGCACTAACTGACTCTCAAGTATTGACTCATGATGCAAAGAAAACAAGGTATGATCGATAGCGGCTCCAATTTCATTCATTTTGCGCATATCACCTATGATCTCATACGCCATACAAAAAAATATCCATATTGTTCAATTGCGACTAATAAAAAAAGACCTAAAACAGGGAAGAATTAGGACATAACCTCAAAAGTTATGTCAAACCATGGAGCCGGACATTTAAAAAGTCATTTTCACATTTATTATGTGTCACTTTTGCCGATTTGAAATTGACGCGCGGAGCTTGCCGACCAATGATGCCGTTATCACCTGTGACGTGACGTAGCGACCAACCTGCGCAATATCATACCTTGTTTTGTTTGTACCACGGTATTGACTTGTCGGGCAGACTTTAGTTAATTTTCTACATATTTTGACTACCTATATTTTTGTCTTAAGCTTCATTCAGAACCTCGAAATCAGTAGACTAAATTAGTAGTTTCAATTAGCCGTAGAAGTTTGTTTACCTAATTTTAATGTAAGCATTCAGAACGTCATAATTAGTGGTAGTAATTTTAAATTAGTGGAAAAAGTTAACAAACTTTTGTCTTTTCCACTAATTATACTTCAAAATTTGCGAGGAATGTCATTTTGGCCTTTGATTGGCCTTTGATTATCACCCGTCAAGAAAAATTTTGGTTAGAAATCAAAAGTTTATTATTTTATAAGCTAAATATTATGCTTTCTCTATGGGTACAACAGACTACCGCAAGCTGTTGCTAGGATATTTTATTAATTTTAATTGTGTTTTTTAGACATTGTGAATGATCGTAAACTAAAAAGTAGAAAGTGTAATTGAAACCACTAATTTATTCCACTAATTGGGAGGTTCTGAATGAAGCTTTATTAATTAACATATAAACTACCGATTTAGAATGACCAGGCCAGTTTGTGCACGAAAATCAGATCTTTATTTATTACCTTTTTATTCTCTAGTTTGTTTCTGAATGTTTATCTATATAAATTTTCCTTTTCACAAAAGAAGCCGTTACAGCACTGCTACGGGCGGACAGGGGCAGCGCTCCAACTTGGCACCCCAGAACATGCAGTGGGCTATCAGATCGAGAGAGTCCGGCAGATCGGCCGGAGTGCGTCTGTACGATTCCAACTTGGTGTTTATCGATCCTAGTTCGTTGAGAAGGTCGGCTTCTGGCAACGCTGCGGTGGCCGCTAGTTCCGAACCTATTACCATGTCGACAACGGCGAGCTGTTTAGCCAGAGCTTTTGGTGAGTATGCATTTATATAATTTATGTTTCAATATAATAAAGTATGATCTGATCTAAAGTACCATATAATGATTTGGCGATGTCAATCTCTAGACGTCATTTAAGAAAAAAAGGCATAAAACTCTTGTCAAAAATTAACACTAGAGAAAGATTAAAAAATTATACACAAATCTATTTACAAAAAAGTATTTTTCTCAAATTTTAATCTACACCATTTAAAAGTCATTTTTACTCGATATATTAAAATAAATTACATCTTCTTTTTCTGTGGAAAGAATCAGTGACTCTGGAAACATCCAATTCCCAATCCATTCCAGATGTGGCCACTTGCCCTGACAGCATTCAGCCAGCACTACTAAAATTACTAAAATAATATAACTACTAAAAGCACTAAATAAACTACAACCTTCCGAAGGCCAGCTGGCAGTAAGTGCCATTAAAATATAAAGAAGAGTATAGGTTAAGTAAATGACGCCTAGGGCTTGGTCTTGCCAAAATTATCATCGATTGTCATTCCTCAGCCGTCTTTGACGCTGATTTTTTTTCGATCTTACATTGTTTTTTTTTTATTATGTAACATAAAAGCCAGTATGAGAGACGGGTTTACAGATTTCCGATATCAGTAGTAACAAACTTCATGGCACGAATGGTTGTCTCGACGCATCCAATGATGAGGTGTTCTGGTATTTTACCATTTTCCAAACAGAACCTGCATTCGCCGTTGTTATTCAGCTTCATTCTACTGAGGTGTTCGTTGAGGAGACAGTATGTGTAGTATGAGGAGACAGGTTGTAGAGTATTAAGGAAACAGAAACCCCGTGACAATCCGAAGATTGTTCTTACTTAAATCAAAGAAAATCTTTAATTTTTCTCAGTTCTAAATTCTGAGAAATGTCTTTCAATGTCTTAGACCGTTGGAGGATTCCCATTCCAGGTTACGGATGGAGTCTTTCAGGTTCTTAAGTTCTGCTCTAAGTTGGTTTCCACTTGGGAAGCAGAGCGGTTCTAGTCCAGTTTTCATTGCCTTCTATCCCTTGGTGAGCTGGCACCCAGAGTAGGAGGACTTTTTGCCTAATAGGAGGTATCTTTGCCTAATTTGTTCAGCTTCTCTAGGCATTCTTTGACCAAATTCGAATTGATGGTCACTGAGTATCTTTGGGAATACTGTAATGATTCCAGAAAAAGTTTTTCAATAACTCATGACTGGCCTTTCTCGTATTTCTCGCGATAAAAAGGTATTTCTCTTAATGAGCATTGTCCTCTTTTATTTTTCTACAGGCTATCTTTTTTTAGTATAGAAATAATTGGAATGTTCAGTGTTTATTATAAGTCTCTTATAGGCTGTCTATAACATTGGATATTGCTAAGTCTGGATCATTTCATTGTTAAAGTTTTAAAATTTTACACTGCAACTGTTAATATACTTAATTCAACTTTGAATCTTTCTTTTCAGGAATTGTCGTTCGTCAGATAGCTGACTTACTTGGAAATATATCAAACAATAACTCTACAGGAATACCTCTGTCTGCGTGTATGGCTGTCTCACCAGATGACATTTGCAATGTTCAGGTAATTTTATATTTACATTTCCATAAAGTTAAATAATTAACCACTTTGAGTTTATTATATAAATTTCTGATATATTCACTGTTGCAAAAAAAAACTTGTGAGTCATTTTCTATGATAATTAAATACCATTTTTAAATTATATGCTAGCGTTGCCTGCTTTTTTAAAACTGCAGTAAAACTTAAAAGAGATAACTGCATAGACCTTTTTCGGAAGATTGGGCCCCCTTGTATTTAAAGAAGTTTATTGTTAATGTCAAAAGCTATAAATAGTTTATTATTTTGCAGATATATCTTGAATTTCGCCTCAAACCTACCTGGGATTGGTTATTGACAGTAATGGACGCCACAGAGGCACAATTGAAATTTGGAGCTTCATTGACCAATTCATTGGATGGAACGGGTGGACCTGCTAGTGGAGCCGCCTCTGCTCAGCATCCAACTGGCAGCTCTGGTTCAGGAGGTGGGCATCGATACGTGCCTGCTCCCCCCTTTTTAGCATCTTTAGCTGCTTTAGGTTACTTGTGTGCTTGATAAATAGGCTTTTTAGCTTTTAACATTAGATTTTCGATTCTATCAGTTACTCTGCAGGCTGGTGACGTTTGCTTAAATTTATACGGAAATTTTATCTTATATTAACAACTAGCCTTTCAAATTATGCAAAGAAATAAAAAAAATGTCAATTTAGAAAAAATACAAAATACAACATGAAGCTTTTTCTGTAGTAGGTTCAAGCGGTTCCAGTGTCGTCAGGTCGAATCATCGTCATGCAGTTACTGGTACTACTAGCGGTTCCGTTGGTAGCAGAATAGTAGGGTTTACTACAAACGTAGAAAGTGGTCGTTCCCGTGCAGACAGAGACGGTAAAGGTATTCATTTACAATTCTATTACTATTTATTAAATGTTGATTTATTATTTAGGTACAAATGCTCACGCTGCAAGACGAGAATTCCTCTCCTATTGTTTGTCCTTGATGAGAGCTCACAATAGTGAACATTTGGATTCATTGCCAATTTTAGATGTTTCAGCCTTAAAGCACGTAGCTTACGTATTTGACGCTCTTATTTATTTTATGAGATCAGGAATGATTGACCATAGGTAGGTTTAGATCGATCATATTTTAATATAGACATTAATCGATCGTTTTTACAAGGGATGACGACCTAAGAAACCAAAATAGTAGTCTGCCTTTACCGCCCTGTTATGATCAAGATGAAAACGAAAATGAGGAAGCGGAAGACGAAATCGCTCTGGCGATGGAAACGGATTCTCTAGATGATCAAGAAGTATCAAACTTAGCCAGTAATATGTCTAGTAATCTTAACAGTTCTTCTCAACAAGGATTTTATGGGAAAGGAAGGAAGCACTCTTTCTTTCAGGTATTCAATATTATCCTTTGCATATTCCTTGTATTCTATGTATTTTTTTCCTCTTTAAAACAGCGATCAGAATCTACCCTTTGTTTGGGATGTCCTCCGCCAGATCCATTTGAAACACCAATGTCAGAAGCACTTCCTCTAGCTGACCAGCCTCACTTGTTACAACCAAATGCTCGTAGAGAAGACTTGTTTGGTATTCCTAAGCAACCTGTTACTTTAAATTCTACTACAGGTTAGTTTATTAAAGAAAATTTAAGGGCTTTTATTTTATATAAAAATCATCATTTTTTTTCAGGAAATTCCGATAATCCTTTAGAACAGTTACCCACCAAATTAAGTTTATCTACTAGAACTACGGATTATGCTATGGGGCAACCAGCTCAAGCAAATCATCCTATTTCGAGGTCGTTAAATGTCATGGGTCCCAATCCACTGACATACCCAAGGAATTACAATCCAGAAGGCGATGTGCCTAAAGAAGTACAGGTAGGAAAATTTATTATAACAGTTAGGTTAGGTTATATATAACAAAGTTAATGTATATAAATCTGGAAAGACATCGACATTGTGGATCTGAATTACAGTGAGATTATTGTGAATCTTAGAACTTGACTTAAATTTTCTTTATTTTGACAGCATAAATTCACATATTAAAAACAGGTTTTCTTCTTTTTCTAATGCAAACCCATTAATGGATGTTTGCAATAACATTTTTCATTGCTTCTCTAATTTTTACTAGTAGGTAATTATTGACTGCATTGTGCTCTCAACGATGATTGTGCACACTTGTTTATTTGCATTGTAGCTGATAATGACATTTGTTTCCAGATTCAAACTGATTTAAGCCAGTCAAGCTCAGCAAGGGAACCCCAGGCCGGTCCCAGTAGTAGTAATTTGAGCAAAGACGTTAAGAAACGGACCATGCAGCCATTTGAAAGTCTGCTGGCAGCTATCGGTAATAAAACTAGTGGTAAGTTAGATGTTAAATGAGCAGTTTGGGTTAAAATGCTGTCTAGCAATATAAGCATTAAAGTTTATATTTTTTTTAACAAATACACCAACAATATTTTAATATTGCTTATGCTGTTAGTTAATGCAAAGAAGGTAATTTATATTTATATATGTTTTTATTTTTGCAACAAAAACTGCTCCTTTAAGAACTCTAAAGTTTTTCTGCAAAATGGCTACTTTAATATGAAATCTGATAATGCCAAAATACGTATAAATAATTCGGTAATTATTTGATTACCTTAAGAGGAATTTAGAGATTTCCATTTTAACTATGATTTTTTATGTCTTGTACTATTTGCTCGCACTGGTCGACATTATCAATTTAATGGATTTTTTATATTATTACAATCCTCACAACATATTCATCACTCGTTATATACTATCGATACCAAATAAACTTTTAGTTACGTCATCGAGAACGCGATTATTAAATTCATTGTTGTTAACCACGGACATATTTGGCGCCGGGCTGACTAATTGGAATATCAGTTTTTCGCTTGCGATTCAGGTGGTAGCTTTGCTGTGAAAAATGTCAAGTTGTCATATTTATTTACTGATATTTTGACACGTTTTGGCAGTATAGTTTTGTATTACATGTTTTTTGGTTTTTAAGGGAGTTGTGTTGGGATATTTTAAACTTAAATTTGTTTACTAGCAAACCTTGTAGTTGATAATTGTTCTTTTTAGAACAGATTGTAGTGCTATATAGTGTTTAAGATGCCGAAGCAGCTTAAGGACCGTTACAAAAAACTCATCTCTTTTCTATTGAAATATTTCGAACGGGAACGCGAAAGTAATGACCCTTTATGTCTCTTAAGTGCTGTTTCCCTCTGAGGTGAGTTTCGTTGATGTAATAAAATGTTTACATGTTTATAATTAATTCATTTTTGTTTCCTAAAATATTTTGATTAAAGGAAAATATGTAAAAGTCGGCAACGCTTGACCGGCAAGCTTAATTACGTGACTAAAAGTTTATTTGGTGTAATCTATAGGTTGCGTATTATATAATTTATAGTATAATGTCTGAAGAAAACTTAGTTGCAAGCTCTCACTTTGATGTCAATAATTGCTGTCCTCCATTCACGCAGTTGTGCAGCTCTGAACTATTCATGAACGCGATACTCTGACTCCATTCAATTGAGTCATAAAGTTCAGAACTGTTCCGCGCCATATAAAGGCAGTAGGCTATTGCGCACAGCTCCTTTCAGAACCGTTCTCGAGTAGCCCAGGGCGTAAAGCACTGGAACTTGAAGTTCGCGAAGGACAGCAACTGTAGCATATTTTATTCTAGGATTTGTCTGCAAATCACCTATTTTTTATGGCAATAAATAATTCTATAAGTTACATAAATCAATAACTTATATGTATATACAGGGTGTCCCAGAAATAAGTGCAAGTATTTTAACTGGTAGTATAGTTCAACTCCAGAAACACGCCTATGAGGTTTTTTTCGCGAAAAAAAATTGAAAATTCGAAATTTTTTGAACATTTCTTTGGAATCTTTTTTAGTTTTTAGTTAAAAAACATAATTTCTTGATAATATGGCAACATAGGTATTAGATTAAATTTACAAGCAAGAAAATTCAGAAAAGATCCAGTGGTTCTCAAAATTTTAGCAAAAAATCATTTTTTTTTGAAAATTTTCGAAGTAAAATAACTCCGTATTTTGGACTTATTTGAAAAACGATAAAGAGAAAATATGTTTCTTTTGTCGAGATCTACCACCCCTTAAGATATTTGCACTTATTTCTGGGACACCCTGTATAAATCACGCAGATGAAATAGTGCAACAAGTTTGTGGCATTTTATAGTTCAATTTCAGTCAGAGTAATGGCATTGGCAAAATAATAATTATTATTTGTTTATAAAAGATGAATTCTTGACAGATATCAAAGCAGAGCTAAAGACTGTAAAGATTCTATAGCAGTCAGTGCTACACTAGTTAAAAATTTCTATAGTGTGCGTGCTCTAAATACAATGAGTCTTAAATAAGTGCAAATATTTTCAGGGCTGGTAGATCTCGATAAAAGAAACATATTTTCTCTTAACAATTTTTCAGATAAGTCCAAAATAACCGAGTTATTTAAGTTTGAAAATTAAAAAAAAAATATTTTTTTAAAATTTTGAGAACCACCGGATTTTTTCTGTATTTGCATCCTTTTTAATGCCGTAACTATGGTAATATTAGAGATTATATAAGAAATTATACCGTGAGAAAATTTGCGGTGAACAGACAGTTCTAAAAAGTTTTCGAAAAATATACAGGGAAATTTAGAAGAAAATGAACGATCTGGGCTCCTGGGGTCGAAATATACCACCCCGGAAAATATTTGCACTTATTTAAGACTCACCCTGTATATTGGGCGAACGTAGGAATGTTACTTTAGCCATGGTAGAGCAAGCTTGATTAGCCTTGTTTGGCAATTGTAGAAATCTTGTTTCTAGATTCAGGACCCGTCTGCGGTGCTCAAAAAATGCCAGTAACGTAGGAAAATGTATCATTACCGTGACGTGACATGTATCATTTTCAATATTTTGTAGATGTATCATTACCGTGACGTGACATGTATCATTTTCAATATTTTGTAGATACAGGAGAATCTACATTATGTCTCCAGATTGTCTTTACAAGAGGAAAAACTTTTTTATTAATGACATTATGGGAAAAATGCATTCTTTATAAACAACTTTACTTGTTCTAAAATGGTTTATCGCGTTTATACCTTTACAAATGTCAATACCGTTTTAGACAAAATTAAAAAAAAACAAGTTCTAAAAATCAAGTAAAAATTAAATGGCGTTTCTATTGTAATGTAATTTCGATCTCATTCTTTGATAGATAGTTATTTGTCATGGCACAAAGAAAACAAGGTATGATCGATAGCGGCTCCAATTTCGTTAAGTTTGCGCATACCACCTGTGACGTCATACGCCATACAAAAAAATATCCATATTGTTCAATTGCCACTAATAAAAAAAAACTAAAATAGGGAAGAATTGGGACATAAACCCAAAAGTTAAGTCAAATCATCGAGCTTGACATTTGAAAAATTATTTTGTAGAAAAATTATTTTCACATTTATTATGTCATCTGTTTGACAATTTGAAATTGATGCGCGAAGCTTGCCGACCAATGGTACCGTTTATCACCTGTGACGTAGTGACCAACCTGCGCAATATCATACCTTGGGTTATTTGTTATTAATTTTGATTAATGTCATATTTTGCGATAACTATTATAATATCACCCTTTTCGTAGTATTGAACTAAATAAATTTTGTGCTTCTTCTTTAACATTTTAAAACAGCAAAAAATACTACGTTAATTAAAATTTTTTCAATAACAATGTATCAAAGAATGAAGACGAAATTATATTACCATAGAAACGCGTTTTAATTTTTTTTTAGTTTTAGGAAAAAACTATATTTATTTTCAAGTTTTTTTATTAATTTTGTCTAATATGGTATGGAAATTTGAAAAAATATAAACGGGATTAACTTTAAAACAAGCAAAAATTTATATGAAGAATGAATTTTTCTCAAAATGTCAATAATCAAAAAGTGTTTCCTCTTGTAAAGGCAATACGGGGGGATATACTGTATATTTTATTTTTCCTGTAAAATAGAAAAACATGACAAAAAATTGCATAATTGGTTATGAACTAAAAAAATAAAACAAGTAACAGTTAGAGCAGAATCACTAATATATGTTTTTCTTGGCATTGTAGTTCAAATTATAAAAAATATGTTTTTTTAGAAGAAGCGATAAATGAAAAACCTCAGGATCTATCATCGAAAAGTAGTTCAAGATCTGTAACACCCGCTCCTGTTGAAACACCTTTAACGTCTAGACCACAAATAATAGTGTCGCCTAGAAAATCCGACTCGTTGGAATCAAACAGCCAAGAAATGCCGCAATTAAATTCTCTTCCCATGTTTCAAAATTCTGAAAGTATGGATTCTTGTAGCGCGGTCTGTGGCGACTCCACTAGTTCAGGGTCGTCAAGAAGTCCCAGTAAGAGCGTTATCGTTAGAGCAGGATCCTCACAGGTAAGAATTCTTTGTGATTTTTATTATGGTCTCTGACAAATATTTTACTTAAATTGCCTCTTTGGTATAGAAAAAAGAGCTAAATTAGAGATAAGTTAAGCCCCGTTCTCAGAACATCGTATTGTCGAACGACACGTCAAAAGAACCAATGAGATTTGCACAAAATTCAAAATTGACAGCTGTTTGAATTTTATACAAATCTGATTGGTTCATTTAACGTGTCGCTGGCAACAGTCGATGTTCTGAGAACGGTGCTTTAGAAAAGATTTATGCTAAGGTACTAATTTTATACCTTTCGTTAAATCTGAAGTTTTAATTTTTAATTTAAGCCTCAGCATTATAGCAGCTTAAATTAATTTTTTTATCATTTTGAAATATCAAATATCCATATTTTTAGCTTTAAATATAGATTTTTCAAAACATTTTAACATGATTTTTTTGTTTCATTAAGAGTTTCATCATTTGTTTAATTCATTACTTAATTTACGTTTCACTTACATATACACACTGTTTATACTTTTTGTTAATTACAAAGAAATAATTTGGTGAGCTGTAAATTTTTTTTAAAAACAAACGTATATTGTATTGTAATGGAAACTAAATACGTGTGTACATAAAATATCATAATGTATACATCACTAAGTTTCCAAAACTATGTCTTTGATAAGTCACTGCTCTCTGATGACCGCAGTCGTTTGAGGTTTTGGCTGAGGACAGATACGGAGCATACATTTATTTCTTAAACAGTTTGTGTGATTTCTTCAATTTCTTTATAAAAAAAATGAAATAAGTGAATTTAGGGCAATGTAATAGGTTTGATGTTAACGCGATAACTCAGTATCGATGAATTTATTTTTCGACTTTATAGTGTAACAGGACCATTAGTATTATTACTAGTTTGTATTTGACAGGTTTTTACTATGAATATTTGAGCATCTTTTTTTTATTACGACTCTAATTTAACATAGTTGTCGGGGGAACATTAACCAGATGTATCAGTATACAGGGTGGTCCGAGCTGTTTTCCGGAAACTTCGGCAGCCTGTTCTGCAGATAAAAATAAGCAAAAAAAGTTAGTATACTTAAATGTATGTCTTAAAATGCTTAGTTTCGGAGATACAGGGTGTAGAAGTTTCATTTTTATTTCCATTTTTTCCAAATAATTTCTGAAATAACGTCAATATTTGGATGAAAATTGGTATCTGGGAGTTTTTTGACATGAGAAATTTGATTTTGAAGTCAATATGACTCCTATTTGTAAGGGGCGCCATCTATATGTGTTTTAACTGTTTTGAAGAGTAATAACTTTTCTCGTTCGTACCTGTATAGAACTACTGAGTGAAAAAATATACATTTTCGTGATTTTCTACATAAAGAATGTCTCTTGGTAAAAATCGCTATGAGCAGCCGTTCTCAAGATATTTAGAATGGAAATAGTCAATACATATGTCATTATTGACTAAAAATAAACATGTTGAGTAGATAAGTTATTCGACTGAAATAATAAATTTGGGAACTTTTAATATGTTTAAATTAATCATAAAATTTTCTTCCAAAAAATTGACGCGAAAACAGTTTTTGTTGAACTTTTGGTACAAAAACATTTCAAATTTATGATTTCACTCTAATAACTATTTAGTCAACATGTTTAACTTATGTCAATGATGACAGGTATTGATGATTTCGGTTTCAAATATCTCGATAACCATTACTCGTAGCAATTTTCACCAAGATACCTTTTTTACGTAAAAACGTCGCAAATGTATATTTTTTACTCAGTAGTTTTATAGAGGTACGGACGAAAAACTATTACACTTCAAATCAGTAAACATATGTAGGTGGCGCCCTCTAAAAAGTAGGAGTCATATTGATGTCAAATTTCTCATGTCAAAAAACTCCCAGACACTAATATTCATCTAAATATTGATGTTACCTCATAAATTATTTGGAAAAAATCCAAATAAAAATGAAACTTCTGCACCCTGTATCTACGTAACTAAGCATTTTAGGACATACATTTATACGAACTTTTTTACTTATTTTTATCTGTGGAATATGCTGCCGAAGTTTCCGGAATACAGTTCGGACCACCCTGTATATAATCATTTTTATTTAATCATCCAGTAAAAACATTAACAATGTCTATCTAACAGTTAAGAATAAAATTTGAATATTTATTACTATCAAAGAATATTATACGCTATAGAAGTCGTCTCGCATCAAATTCGGTTCTATATGAATATTAGGCTGTCTCATATAGACGGACCTATATAAGGACGGAAAATATCAAGCAGTAGAGAATATAAGACCAGACTTTCAATAATTCTAAATTGGTGTTACCAGTATTGTCAGTTGTTTCTTGTCTCTGTGTAATTTACTTGTTAGTCTAGATTAGATTAGATTCTTAGAGGTGGCTTTCGGCCTGATCCACTGCGACCTTCTCAGATCTATTGTGGTCCTCTTCTGATCCTTAGATTACATTCTCCAGTCCTATCCTTTTCACAAAGTTTAGCAACTTGGAGACTGAACCCTCCATGTAGCTCCTTGGCAATGGCCTATCATTGCCTATTACCGGGAACCGCACATTTGCCAGGCTGTCACACCGACATAAAATGTGTTCTGACGTTTCTTCTTCAGATTGGCAGAACCTACACATAGCTTCGTCTGTCAATCCCATCAGCTTTAGATGCCTATTTAGCTTACAATGCCCTGTTAGTAGACCTACTACAGCTTTGACTGTTTTTCTGTCCTTGCTTATCAAGTCTACCGTGAATTTTGGCGAATGTTCTACAATGAACCTTTTCGCCTGTCTCTGCCCTGGTGAGTTTCTCCACCATTCTGGAGATTTGTTGGCCACCCATTGTTCCGTGGCCATTCTCGTGACCGCCTTTGCAACGCCGCAGAAAGGTTCTTCTGGGCCTATGAATGGCATTGATGAGCTCTCCTTGCTTGGCTCTTTCTTTTTTTGCTTGGCTCTTTACTTGTTAGTCTAACACGCACCGTCAATATTTTCTACTCTTTGCATTTATTATAGGGCCATTACCTTAAAGCCAAATATAAAACTGAATTTAAAAAAAAGTACATCTTATTTCTTAATTCTATATTGATTATTTTATGTAAATTGTATTTTAGACTAATACTAATGTGACAAAAAGTTGTGATTCGGGAATTCTTATGGATGTCCAACTTGAAACATTGGAAAATCAGGAAATATCTGCTAATGTTACTGTAGTCACAAGCTCGGCACCGCAGGAGCTTTCAAAACCTAGTATAGGACAGCTTGTCTCGCATGATTTGCTCTTAGGTATTGTATTTTCTGCTGTTTAACGATATTTTTTGGGAATATACATCATTTATAATTTTAGGTCGATGGAGGTTATCTCTAGACCTTTTCGGTCGTGTCTTTATGGAAGATGTAGGATTAGAACCAGGATCGATTGTGTCCGAATTAGGCGGGTTTCCAGTTAAAGAAGCTAAATTCAGGAGGGATATGGAAAAGCTTAGAAACAACCAGCAACGGGATTTGACACTTTCGAAAATCGAACGCGACCGAACTCAGCTATTATTGCAAACTTTTAAAGAACTCAACACACAATATACTAGTTACAACAGAAGAAACTCTTCGTCTCCTCCGTTAGCGGTAAACAGGTATTTTAAATCGAAAATATAAAATTCAAGAAGATAATGAAAATATTCATTACAGGGTAAAAGTTACATTTAAAGATGAACCAGGAGAAGGTAGCGGGGTCGCTCGTAGTTTTTACACTGCAATTGCCGAAGCTATTTTGTCCAACGAAAAACTACCAAATCTGGAACCAGCGCAGGTTGATAACAAGTACAATCAGTACAGTGTCCTGCAAAGGTTAGTAAAGTAAGGGAACCTTCTAAATAATGTCGATACTTTTGTAGGGAGTTTAAATCTGGAAAAAACGCTAGGTATATCGCGACTAAAACATAAATATATTTTTTTAATGTCTCTGAGTTAAAATTCTAACGGAAACTGACTTGTGTGCTTTTTACAAAAAAACTTGGCTTTTTACAAAACATTTTATTAACAATAATTTCAATTCACCAAACACTGAATTTTATACCTTATAAGTTTGTTAATTAATTTTAATCTTATTTTTTAAACCAGTATCTTTTGACATAATCTCTCTACAGTGCTAAAAGGCTTTTACATATAAAAATCTTTTACCTATCGTATGATGTCTTAATTTTACAGCTACTTCAGTTTTTAATACCATATACGAGATAGTATACAATTTTTTGGTGGCTAATACAACTATCTGGGTCTACACTATTCTCTCGATTTTTCTTCCACTTAGCTTTAAAAACACAAAACACACGTAATAACAAACGAAAATGCCAAAGCAATTCGCAAATCTTTATCATTTTCCGGAACGTTGGTTACTTGACACAATATATTACCTTTAGTTTGACATGTTTCGAAAATCTTAAGTCGAGTTCATACGCATCTGCGACCGTGCGTTTTTCCTTCACTCCAATTATATTGAAATATGATTTGTCATTTTTAAAATAAACCAATGAGACTGGTTAAAAACAACAAGAGACGAACCATGATAGATTTATATACATATAAACTATAAAATCATCCATAGTTAACTTAAAAAACATTACAAACTTTCTTTAGTGATAAAAATGGATTGGTATGGACATCATCTGTCATCGTCTGTCGAAATCTTCTCCTTGTCGGAAAATAATATATTTTAAGATACCTTAGTTATTTTCAGTTTAGAGACTTTATTAAACTTATATACCGGGTGCGTCTCAAAAGTGGCTCACCCCTATAATTTTTTTATTTTTTTCAGATAAAAAATCGAGATTTGGTATATTAATATATGACATAAATTAGGATTGATTGACGTATTCAATTGTTTTCTGTCACTTCCTGTTTCACCAGAAATTACTACAACTTTTAATATTTAAATGGTACCCTTGGTGTTTTGTTGCTTTAAGCTTGATTTTCATGCATCCGTTATCCGACGATACGATGATACGATATTAATTTTATTGGTTGGATTTAAAAATTTTGATTGGTTAGAAAATTCCGCAGTTTTTAAATTTATTGCATTTTCATGCCTCCGTTTATCGGATATACGTTGGTGTCATTTTATATTTTCGTTTCCATAACGATTTTGCTATTTTACTTATATTTTTATTAAGGTTAGATTAAATTTGCCAAAAAAGTGTCAAAACGTCCGTTATCGTATGAACGGGTCCGTTGACGGGCTGAAGTAAAATATTTATGGATAAAAAGTGGCGCGAAAACGCTATGACCAATCAGAGCACCATCGGACCATCGTATCAACGTATAACAGATGCATGAAAATCAAGCTTTATTCGATAGAAAATGACACTCTGGATAGAATGATGTATGTCAACTTTTGACATTTTCGAATATGGTTTATTCGAAATTGCAATATGCAATTCATAACGACAATTTGACTCGAAATATCAAGTGTGTGGTACCAAATTATTCGTAAAAAAATGCTTTTTCCAAATTGCTAATGAGCCACCCTCGTTCCATTTGAAAAAATTGAGATATGATTATAAATACGACTTCAGCATCTTTTAACCAGCCAGGATAAGACACGAATAACATTAGACGATCAAATCTATTTTTCCAAGGCTCATTGATTAAAAATTAGTATTTTTAAACACAGCACTCTAGATTGTAATTTAAAATTCAATTTTGTTTTAAGCAAAAATGTCAAAAGTTGACATATGATATGTCCTTCTATTCAGAATATCGAGGGTGCAATTTAAAAATCAAAACTCGTACTCATTTCCGGTGAAACAGGAAGAGGCCGAAAAGAATTGAGTATGCCAATCAATCCTAATTTATGTCATATACTAATATACCAAATCACTCAAAAAGTTATAGGGGTGAGCCACTTTTGAGACGCACCTGGTATTAATTTTTATTTATTATCTAACGCGTTCTGATAAAGTGTGTTTAAATAAAGTCAAGATCAAAAGGCCGAAAAAAATATTTTAGGTTTTTCAGAAATTTTTCAAGTATCTCGTCGTGCAAAAACCTAAAATAAAGAAAAATCTATGTCTTGAATTCTTGGACAGGTCATCCGCTTATTTTGTTTTGCTTGTTTGCAAGGTTTATATTGTGTAGTGATATTTTTAAAGAAAAAAATCAAAATAATTTGTAAGATTTTTTCTTATGTGAACCATTTTTCCAGAAATGTCACATAATAAATGAATTTGAATTTTTGTGTGAAAATCATTAATTTTGTCTTTTTCAGATTGAGACAACGAGACAGGGAGGTGCTTCGTCGCTCTCTTCCGTCGAGAGGTTCAGGCCGAAATCGCGATCACCATCGCAGAACGATGAGCGTGGATGCTCGTCCGTACGTGCCCGGTGAAAATCTGCACAACAACACCGAGGCTCCGTCTATGCCTGACATATCGGCAAACGTGGGACAGAGTAACCCATTGACTAATGATCATCTGACCAGTCACCAGCAGCAGTTGGGTGATAGATTGTATCCGAAAGTTTTCAATCTTCATCCTACTTTCGCTGGAAGGATTACGGGTAAGTGACATCTCAAGAGTCTTCTATGTATTTTATTAAATATAAATTCTTTAGGAATGTTGCTGGAATTATCCCCAGCTCAGTTGCTCTTACTTTTGGCCTCAGAAGAGTCTTTAAGGTCGAAGGTGGAGGAAGCGGTTGAAATGATTTTAGCGCATTCTCAATCTCATGCTGATATGGGCCAAGATGCACTATTAGGTAAGTACTTCTGGATTTTTTTTATATTACTTGACCTACATACGTGATGATACAAGCCTTACTGTTTTGAGAAGTGAAACTTTGCCATTAATAAAATGCCATATAAATTTGGTCAATATGGGATTTATTAAAGTAATAGCATTTTAATAAAAATACTAATTTGATCGACATCAGTTGATTTGAACAAATTCCCACCGCAGCGCACTCTACGTCAGAAATCATAAATTATCAATAAATAGTTCACGCCGCCGTCATGTCGATCGCATTAAAATAATATTGAAATTAGGGTTTTGTCGTAATATTTCAGTATTTTAGTTTTTTGCTAGTGCAGTCATTGAGACTATAAAACACTCAGGTACGAGGTTTGTGTGATGTAACGCTGTTTCGGATAGTAAAAAATAAGCGAAAAAAAATTCGAACTGGGCGTCTTGTTGTGTTGTGACAATTTCAAATGTTAATAAAATTGCCCAAAAAAATGTTAACGCGTAAAGAGAGCGTAATTAGGGCGTTGTTGGATGCAATAACATTCAATAACTCAACATTCCCGGATATTCAACTCTCCCGAAACAACATTTTATAGCTTCATAGTTTCTCACACCGATTTGATCAAAAGCAAAAACGGATTCAAGCAGTTCGATGAAACAAGTGAGTAAACAAAGTGCTCGTTACATAATCAAAAAATTAAATAGACATATACTATGAGAGGATGAAATATAATTTGCAATATTAATGGTATACTTTTTTAATCAACTAGTGATTAAATGTTTTATGAACATCTTCTAAAATTATAATTATGTATCTTTAAAAAATCTCGTTATAGCCGAAATAGCTCCAATTATGCCCCATTGGCAAAACCGGTGATAAGTCTATGCTCGCTACCGTAGTTAAACTCTAATATAAATAAGAATAATAAATTATAATGCAAGTTAGACCTTCTGAAGATATCAAAATATTTCCCTTTTTATTTTTTTGTTTAGAATTTCCACAAATTATACATTCTAACACTTTTAGAATAATTATATTCTAATTTTTTCGTTTACTCGCCATTTATATTGTATTTCGCCATTTATATATTGTATTGTTCTCGCCATTTATATTCTGTATTTGTATATGTTCGTTATATACGATATTCTCGGGCGGTGGCAGCACCGGCGGTGAATGCACCAAGCCTATAGCATCTCAAGTTTTTTCATCAGTTATTTTTTAGTATTTTTAAAATATGTAGACTAACCTGGAAAAAAGTGGTATATGCGCCTAAATTGATATATTATAAGACGGTCAAAATACATGAAGACGTAACATACCCTACATGAATTTAATATAAACAGAACTCGCGCTCGTTGGGCTCTATCATCACTCTCGTAATTCAAAATATGTGTTATTTTATTTTTATTTTTTCTCTAGAATTAGACGTTTTTTCATTGAACGAAAGAGGTTCGAAAAAAGCCGGCGGTTCCAGGACAACCAGCGCCGATAATTCTGTTACAGAAGAGGGCGCTCCCGAGGAAGAGGACAATGCTCCTCTGTTTTACTGTCCAGGCAAAAGAGGATTTTATGCCCCTCGTCAGGGCAAAGCCACATTCGAGAGATTAAACGCTTTTAGAAATGTTGGAAGGTAAGATATCTAAATATTAACTTTTTTAGAATTTCTTGTTCGGTTTGGTTCTATATTAAAACCATTTTTAATAAGTGTTGCTGAAATATTTTCTTATTGACCAGCGGTAAAATTGTATTCTTTATATCAATTACATTCTTGTTCATATGCCGTGTGATCAAAAAGTTTGATGATCACTTGTCATCATTGACAGTTAAATAAAATCTAATCCAATTTCCCATAAGAATTGTTTACCTGTTACATTGAACAAGATAAATTAATGAAGTAATCACAAACTTTTTATAGTTATAAATGTTGTGTGGAAAACGGAAGCTTGCTATTTCTTGTTTATTTTATATTGGTTTTATTCAAAATGAAATAATTTAAATCTGAAAAGACATTTGTCAGAACTTGAATTACAGTGATGTTATTATGAATCTTTGAAATATACTTCAAAAAATGTTATTTCTGTAGTATTCGGTCGTTCCCAGATTAGAAATATAATAATGGACATTTTTCACTAATAAGTAATTATACATACCGATTTGGTCTTCGAAACTGTACAGTCTGGTCTATGAAAAATGTTGCATCTAGGGTTGGAACTTTATTTTTCACTATTAGTTACTCATTTTACTAAAGCTGTAATAGATTATATTTAGTGTAGATATATTATCATCGTTTCAGTAGCATACACGAAAGGTTTTTAAAATAGCATATATTTTTCTACACATATTTTCCTACAAACTTGCCATGATTCATATATCATTTATTAAGTCAAATGGTCATACAGATAAAAAATATTAAATCGAAAATGTTGAACATTTTTTACAATAAAAATGACAATTTTCATGATAATTTTAATATGCAGGAGCTATAATTTAGTCGATTTTTATTTGAATATAAACTATTATGACTATATTTCCGTGTATATAAATATGTAGGTTAATTATCGAATGTAATACCACAAGATGTTTCGGGATTACCGAATAATACATTTACCTGACACGAAATGCGTTACCCGGTATCGCATTGAGTGCCAGGTAAAAGTATTAGGTAATCCCGAAACATCGAGTTGTATTCAAAAGATTATACAACGAAATGAAGTACATATATCCTTCTTATCAATCGTTCTTCAATTACAATATGGCCACCAAGCGATAATCACTTAAATGATTATCACTTATTAATCACATCCTTCTAAATAGGAAAAATATACGTATAATCAATATTACGTTTTATTTGGGATCTTAATATATTTTTCTTTTTTCAGATTACTCGGATTATGCTTGTTGCAAAATGAACTCTGTCCCATCTTTTTGACCAGACATGTTTTGAAATCTATTTTAGGAAGGCCAATCAAGTTTCATGATTTAGCCTTCTTTGATCCAGTGGTTTATGAATCCCTAAGACAGCTGGTAGTAGACGCCGAAACTAAAGATAGCAACAGTCTATTTTCGGCCTTAGATCTGAATTTCACGTAATTAACGACATTTTTATTATTACATGTATAATATTAAACCTTCTTATTATTTTAGGATTGATTTAGGTCTCGAAGAGGGAGGTGGCACTGTCGAAATTATGGCAAATGGAAAAGACATTGAAGTAACCTCATCTAATGTTTACGATTATGTTAGGAAATATGCTAAGTATAGAATGATCAAGGTTCAAGAAAAGGCAATAGAGGTATGTTTAAATTAACTAAATGACATTTAAATAATATATCTTAATTGTTATATGAATTCCGTTTCAGAGCATACGAACAGGAGTGTTTGATGTTTTACCTGAGGGATCATTGGATGGCCTCACAGCTGAAGATCTAAGACTGTTGCTAAATGGTGTTGGAGATATCAACGTGTCCGTGCTGATATCGTACACGTCGTTTAATGATGAATCTGGAGAGAGCAGCGAGAGACTCGTTAAATTTAAACGGTGGCTGTGGTCCATTGTGGAAAAAATGACACATTTAGAAAGACAGGACTTAGTAAGTACAATTTTTATTTTTTTATATTGTATAGTATTTTCAGCAAGAGATTATGTGACATATAATGACAGTTTTTTGTCATTTTAATTAAACTGCATTGTGAATCTATTTTTTTTATGTTTTCTGTGGAGGTCATATTCTCTTGTTGATCAGACTATAAATATGTCAAAATTATTAAAATTGTTGATGGTGGTCATAATTTTAAATTCGTCATCATAGACTCACTATTTTCAAATTTCCGTTTAGTTTAACACCAACGCACAAAACCGATGACATCCTTCTTTTAGACGCTTACAGGCAAGTTTTAAGACGAGGTTGCGACAAAAAATGGCATCGAGTACAGAATTTATTTCTGTCATTTTTTGAATGAACCGTGTCAAATTATTATACGTTTTACCGGACGAACTAGACCGGTTGAGCCTCAATACTGAATAAAGCCAAACAAGAATTTGTGTGATTATTTGTATCTTTGTTTCACCCAAGGATTGATAATAAAATCGCGATAAGATACACACGCTGAATCCGAACAGTATCATTGTCAATGGATAACCGACTTTGCGAGTGTCTAAATCGACCCTTAAGTCTCGGTTTCTTACAAAGCTGTAACGCTAAAGAGCGACAGTTTCTGCCGACGAGTAGTACGGCCGCTTTGACGGTGAATATTATTGTAAATTAACATTAAAAACGGTGGCGTTAAAATACTGCCGCTTTTCGCTTTGAGTCAGTTCAAATCAAATATAAAACGCTAGATCACTGCACTGGAGTAACGTCAAAAATGTGTTTGCAATATCCCACCGTACAGAGCGGCCGCTTCAGAAATTATGGTGCTGTTTTTTTCGGGCTGAACGCTTTGGAGAAACACACGTCAATTTGCAAGAACATACACGCTTTTTAGCAGCGTAGCTCGCCGTCAAATTACGACCGCTTTTTAGAGATACTGCTTTGCCATATCTTTCTAATGACTAAATGGTTACTCTTAAAATTTTCAACTGGAACGATTTTTAAGTGAATTTTAAAGTAATTTCGTTGAATTATAATCATCTACGGTCTACCACGTGTGTTTTGATATATTACGACTCATAACACATATTTTTAAATTAGAATATACATATATATTTTTCAATTTGCTAAAATTTAATAAATTTATAACAGGTGTACTTCTGGACGGGTTCACCGGCACTTCCTGCCAGCGAAGACGGTTTTCAGCCAATGCCTTCGGTAACTATTCGACCAGCTGATGATGCCCACTTGCCAACAGCTAATACCTGTATCTCGAGACTTTACATCCCACTTTACAGTAGCCGAACAGTGCTCAGACAGAAGTTATTGTTAGCCATCAAGACCAAGAACTTTGGTTTTGTTTAAACTCGTTATATTATTTTCTTTTGTTGTAAGATACTTGCATCTAGAAACTGTTCTAATAAAATTTTAATCGTACTTTAGATTAAGCGTTTATTATGTTTTGAATGTGATGTATAAATAAGACTCGGAAAAGTGATATGTTAAGGTGTATATGAGTAAAGGGTCTTTTTAATCATTATTTTCCGTTTTACTATGTAGTGAAGTCTGAAAAATAACTATAGTAAAATCATTTCTAATGTAAATTATAGAATGTAGATTATTTTAAAATTACTTCTCGAAAAGAAACTGCTTACTCTGAATACAAGATGATGGAATACACATATTGTTTTTAATTTATAACCTAAATAGATAATAACACAATGAATTTAAAAATATATCTTTATTGATTTTATTTGAATCACAAGTTCCGTCAATTATTTTACTACTTATAGTAATCAATTATAAATAAATACCATGTTAATAAGATAAAACCATAAAAATACCAATTTAGTACTATACAGTATATACAAGTTTTAATAAAATAAGGCACAATATATTTAATTCTAGGAATGATTGATTTTCAAAGTTAAATGCTGCTTTTTAATACTTTCTTAGTAAATACATCTGTTTAAAGTCCTAATGACTTAGTTACTATTTGATTTTAAGGTGTAAATTAAGAATGTAACTGGAAACGATCAGTCGGGGCGTGCAATGGTGATGATTTCCATGGACTCGTTAAAAATTGGTCTCTTGGATTTAGATTGGGTAGCACTATTTATCACTTCTATCCATCTAAAATTAGAAAAAAAATGATTCAGTTTGATATTTAGAAACATACTGCTTAACAATTGAAATGGATTAATTTGATTTTAAATTACACTTATTATAAGTACTACCGATTCAACTGATTTACAGTTTGATTCATGAAGGAGGACAACTGCATTGTACTGAATATTCCGATTAAGGTAGGAAGGCTGCGATAAGTAACAATTTTTAAAATAAGAAAAATACAATGTTTTTTTATCTACAAATACTACCATGTAAAATCTTAGTTCTTATAAACTTCATAATATCTAAGCATAATTTTTTACTGAAAATTAAAATATTGAATTATTGATGCGATTTAGCTCCTAGTATCTAGCTTAGTAATTATTATGTCCATGATACCGTATGATTGGAAAAAATACGGCGTCACAGACGGTTGGAGAAGGACAATCAATGATAATTTTGGCGCGGTCAATCTCTAGACATTTATTAAAAGTTGACATAAAACCATATACTTATAAAGTTCTATACAGATTATCGCCTATCCCTGCAATGTGCTGGAGTTGAAGCCGAGTTAGAGACAACTGGGTATCCGATCCATGTATATTTCACATAAGTTCGTCTGTTAGGCAGACACTGGCGCAAAAGCGCAACTCCAAAATTCCGAATATCGATTGTCTGTCCGAGGACTCCATTCGGGTACCTCTATCCACGTGCCGAGTTTGATTCCAATCGACCCATAATTAAGAAAAATCCTGATGATTTCGTCCATTTAGAGCCATCGGTTCGAAACGTCGAGTGCGTCATCCTGTAGCCCGTCACCAATTATACCGAAATCGACCCACATTTTTCTTCAATGACAAATCCATAATCCCACCCCGACGAAGATAACGAAACGTCCGTCGTATCCAACTTAGCAGGGTGGGGCCGTGTGCATCAACTTTTGACGTTTCTTACGTCAAAACTATCACAGTTACACGACTTTGAATTCTTAGGTTTGGCTGCACTCTAATAGACCGCCCTTCACTGTTTTAGAATGTATGGCCAACTAATTGCAAGCAACTTGGCAGTCATACGTGGAAGTAAATAATTTAATTACAGATAATTTTTTCAATATGTGTGGTGAATTTCGCTTTAAATACTTTAGGGTGATTTTTAATTTAGTATTTCTAAACGCATTATATTTTCTCCTTAAGGTGTACGCGCACTGAATCGGTACCAGTCCGGCGAGAAACGGCGAAGGCGGTGACTCGACTATTGTAGATAGGTAGAGGTAGTAATCTGGCCTCTACAGGCCGAAATGTTTTAGTGGACGCCGGCGCCGTCTATATGTACGATGGTCGCAGTCGCTTTTCCTGGTCGGTCCGATCCGATGCAGTGCGCGCCAAGCCTTATTCTATATTATAATTTCCCGAAATATCCATTTCCATTGCGCAGCAGTGTAATTTATTACAAACCTGTTATAAGTATATTCCGATTCTGCTCTGAAGAAATACACATGATTTTTGTATTGCAATTTAAACACATAGTCTTTTCCTATTTGGTCCTCTGTTGAAGGTGGTCCAACACTGTATCCTAACAAAGGCAACGATGCTAGCGGAAAATCGTCCATGCAGGCTTTGTAAAAAAATAGGCAAAATGATGTAAACACTACCCAGAGCTTTTGCCACCCGTTCGTGCTTTTAAATTTTCGGAGCAAATAGCCGGAAAGTTGATTCTAAAAATTAATGATTTTGAATAAATTGAACGTTAAAAAATGTCTTGTTCTTTTTATACCTCTACAGCAAGTAATTCATCTTTCATGCTGATACTGGTGCTACGATGCCAACAAACATGGACGGTTGTATTACTTCTCTGGGCTTGGGGTTTCGTTTGAGTACTTGCTTCATTACTAACTTGTTCGACGTGTTCATCTGATGAGCCTACAATTTATTATAATATAATTGAATGAGAGAATGTGGAAAGATTTTTGTCTAATATCATAAGGTCAATTGTATGATTACTGAGAAAAAACTGTGTTGTTAAACTATACCGAGTGATGGAGAAATTATTACACAGACCCCGTATTTTGTTTTATTTTGTATTATATAAAACTCAATGCTGATTGACTAATGTACCAACGCACAGCCGAAACCGCTTGTCCTAGAAGCAAGAAATTTGGCACATAGGCTCCTTGAATGACGAAAGTGAGCACTAAGAAGCCGATTTTTGGAAATTCAATACCTACGGGCGTCAAATTTGATAAAATTATTCTAGGAGTATGAAATTTTGCATAGAGAGTCCTGATGTGTCGTAATTGGGTAAGAAGCGATTTTTGTAAATTCGCTCTCTAAGGGGGTGAAATGACGGAGGTAAATGTAAGAAAAAAATAAACTCTGTCCTAGATTTATGAATTTTTGCACAGAGGTTCCTTTACTGGAGTTATGAATACTAAGAAGCGATTGTTGGAAATTCTCCACAAAAGGTGGTGAAACTAGGGCTGTAAGTCCTAGGAGTATGAGATTTTGCATAGATGTTCCTTAAGTGGCGTAGTGCCAACCAACACCATGAAGCGGTTGTTGGAAATTCGTAGCATAGGGAGGGAAATTTTGTATAAAAGCTTACTTTTAATATTACCGAAAGGCTCATTAAATGATGAAAGTGAGTATACAAAGATTATTTTTGGAAATGCGTTCTCTAAAGGTGCGTATTCACTGAGCGAACGAATGCCGAACGACCAACGAACTCCGAATGATTCGTCAAGTGTGTACGTAAATGCAAAGGCGAATCGAATGGCATTTTTAAGTTCGGTTCGCCGTCGCCTGCGTTCGGTCGGAGAGCGGTACATCAAAGAGATTCGCAGTTCGGTGTTGACGAGATTCGCGGGTTTTTAATTTTTTGGGGGAACTCCGAATTCGAATTTGTATTATTTGCATTTGGACGCTGTGTTTTTAAGTTAAAACGATTCAAGATGTCTGATAAACTTCAATGGACAGACGACCTTACAATTGATTTAATTAAAGCATATAGAAATAAGGAGGAATTGTTATGGAATCCTTCCCGACTTTGATAAACCTTTGACATCCAATGTTTTCTTTTCCTTTTTTGTTTTTTTTTGCTTTTAGTGATCCCGCATAAATTATAAAAGCTGATGCCGCTATAATTTTGTCACACATTTTTTCTGCTAAACAAACAGCGAACTTTCTGCATTCGTTTCGGATTCGCTCATTGGTAGGGTACCTGAATTACGGCCCAGAAGAAAACGAACCCAGAACCTTCGTTGTTCGGACTTCGTTGTTTGTTCGGCATTCGTTCGCTCAGTGAGTACGCACCTTAAGAGGGTAAAATTAGGGCAAACTTTGTACAAGAACTTATTAAAATCGGTTCTAGATGTATGATATTTGGCACAGAGGTTCCTTAGGTGACAACTGAATTCTAAAGAAGCGATTTTCGAAAATTCATTTCATATGGGGGTAATGTGACGAAAGTAAGGGTAAAATGTCTATATTTAAAAAAAAAACTGCCCTAGGAGTATGACATTTTACACAAAGATACCTTAAATAACGAACGTGAGTAAAGAGATTTTTGGAAATTCATCCTCTAAGAAGGTGAAATTAGGGGTGAAAGTTTGTAAAAAATTTGTTAAAACGGTTCTAGAAGTATGAAGTTTTGCACAGGGGCTCTTTAGGTGACGACAGTAAGTACTAAGAAAAGCGATTTTTAAAAATTCATCCTTTAAGAGGGATATATCAGGGTTGAGAGATCGTACAATTTTTTTAAAATTTTGTACAAAGCATCCTTAAATGACGTAATTGAACTATAAGAAGCCATTTTGGGAAAGTTATCCTCCCTATTAGTGATATGGTTTAGATACAATATTTCAAAGGAAACATTCATTTTTGTAATTTTTTTATCGATATAGATTCTTATTACTGAACCGAATAACAGTCTATATATTAAAACACAACATTAATAAAACAGTAACGCAAATTCAAACTGTTTACTAATATCACAGATCGTCTTTCAAGCTGAATTTTAATTAAAAATAAACAGAATATAAGAAAATTTGAATAATATATTCATTAACGCATGGTAATCTGGACTTTATGTGTACAATTATTATTAAGTGTATGAGACATATGTTTATAATCTATTTTTTTACTGCATGTGATTAAAGATCGTGATTCTAATTGCAATGAGAACATGTTTCTTCAAAATAAACAAAAAATATTACTCCTATAATTACTCAAACAATGAAACAAACTTACTGCAACTTTTTAGGCTCAAATAAGTGATTTTGGTATCGAGCTTGTCCCTGGCTTGCTGTATAGCTGTCAATAAATCTTGCTTCCATCTGTCCTTTTCTTCTGGCGAGCTGGCGGCCACAGTCAGAGCTCTAGTCCCGCCGTAAATTATAAGACCATTAATTGCCAATTCTCCTTCGGGTTCTTCTATTAAGACACCCCTAAGGGGCATATGACCATGCACTTTAAATTGTAATGTCACCTGGGATCGGGAAGTGTACAGCAGTATATCCGAAAACTGAAAATTTCCAATTGTGGCGTTAGTTGACATCAGTTATATTTGCTTAAAAGCTATGTAATCCATTAAAGTACCATTTTATTTTTTTTTTACAAAAGAAGAAGCCTAAAATCCAAAGACCACCTTGACCAACAAAAAGCCTCTGCTTCAAATGTTTTTAATTAATGTGTCAAAATGGTTCGTTGGGGTGTGTAAACGGTGTAAACGTCTTATTATATGAAGGGGGTCCAGAGGAAAAATGCTAAAGCCGTTTTACTAATTTTACAGGAGAGCCCTTGACGGCTAATGGTTATCTGGTTCTTTTCCCGCATGTATATTTTTAGTAGGGATATATCAGGATTTAACAGCTTATTGCCCTGCAGAGTTTCTACATTTTGTAGGGACCAGTTAGACCTACTATACAGGGTCAAACTAGCCAGCTATTTTATCAGCAGTTTTCAAACTAGCCAGCTTTTTTACAGAAAGCGCTGTTATTTTGTTGGTTAAGTGTTAGTTTGCGATGGTGGTTGTGCTGTTTATTTGCAAAATAGCTGGCTAGTTTGAAAACTAGCCCAGTATCCATTTTAGCCGTAACATACAGGGTGGTCAAAGTTGTATTCCGGAAACTTCGGCAGCATGTTTGGCAGATAAAAATAAGTAAAAAATTTCGTATAAATAAATGTATGTCCTAAAATGCTTAGTTTCGAAGATACAGGGTGTAGAAGTTTCATATTTATGTGTCTGGGAATTTTTTCACTGGATAAATTTGATTTTGATGTCAATATGACTCCTATTTGTAGGAGACGCTACCTACATGTGTTTTAACTGTTTTGAAGGGTAATAACTTTTCGTCCGTGCCCGTATAAAACCACTGAGTGAAAAAATATACATTTCCGAGATTTTTTTTCGTAAAAAATGTCTCCGTGATAAAAATCGTTACGAGCAACCGTTTTGAAGATATTTAGAAAGGAAATAGTCAATACATGTCATTATTGACAACAAATAAGCCTGTTGAGTTGGTAGTTCTTTGACTGAAATGATAAATTGGGGAACTTTTTATTTTTTTAAATTAATCATAAATTTTTCTTCGAAAAAATGATGACAAACAATGATGACAATCGTTTCTGTTGAACTTTTGGCACAAAAACATTTCAAATTTATGATTTCAGTCTAATGACTATTTAGTCAACATGTTTACTTATATGTCATTGATGACAGGTATTGATAATTTGGATTCCAAATATCTCGAGGACCATTACTCGTAGCGATTTTTACCAAGATATTTTTTTACGTAAAAAGCATTGTAAATGAATTTTTTTTAACTCGGTAGTCTTATACAGCTGCAGACAAAAAGTTATTATTCTTCAAACCAGTTAAAAATATGTAGGTAGTAGGAGTCATATTAACATCAAAATCAAATTTCTCATGTCAAAAAACTCCCAGACACCAATTTTCATCCAAATATTGACGTTGCTTCGGAAATTATTTGGAATAAATCGAAATAAAAGTGAAACTTCTACACCCTGTATCTTCGAAACTAAGCCATTTTAGGACATACATTTATACAAACTTTTTCACTTATTTTTATCTTAAGAATATTCTGCCGAATTTTCCGGAATACAATTCGGACCACCCTGTATAGCCATACCAGTTGTTTACGATATTCTCCTATTGTGGCAGCACCGGCGGAGAATGCACTAAGCCTATAGAAAACTGCCATTTCTTTTTATATTCGACGAGTCATAAACTGTGCCGTAATGATACTGTTAAGGGTTACTAACATTGTTTGGGTATTCTCCAAATGAGCTAATTTTATCAAAAAAAATTAGATGGTATCACAATTTATTTTGTTGTTGTAGAGACCATTAAATAGCGAAATAAAATGAGATCCTCATTAAATTAAGAAAATTGATGTTGGTCTCTTGACCAACTACGGCGGATTGGAAAATCTTGCCCTATTGTAGAGGAGAAAAAGCTAACAATGGCAATCAAAATCAATCCAAAATGCTAAATCAAATTTGGCTATACTTGCCCAATGGCAAAGTAGATATTATTTTCATCACTCATTACAATTAATCTTAAAATTTTAGGAAAAGTAAAAGCTTTTTTTCCTAGACATTGATATATTTTGAACGCTGCATTTAAACGAAGTTATCTTAATAATGCGAAATTGACTAGCATTCATAAAACATAATATGGTTACACCCGATTCTAAACATTATCATACTTACCAAAAAGAACATTCGTGGTTGGTATCCTTTCCTAGATAGTTTAAGCAGACATCCGTGCCTAATAAATTTCCTACCCGGATGTACTAGATTATCAAAACCAACAATATCTCTCTGTAACTCGCAGAGTGTAGCCAAATTCTCCGAGTGTTCGAGAGTTTCTTTAACTGGTATCATAAGATCTTTCAGCGTATCACTAGCTGTCAGACAATCGGACCTGTCGGGATGATTTGGGCCGTAGTGATTGAGGAGCCGTTCAAGTAAAGATTGGTATTGAAGTAACCTAAATATAAAGCAATATTAATTAGTGTGAGACAAATTAACTTTAAATAGATTTATTACCTGTGTAAGGGTTTTAGAACGAACGTGGTAAGAGGTAAATAGCATACTTTTTGTGTCTCGAATTCTCTGTACAGTTGCTCAAATTTGGCATTTTTCTTAAAGGATTCGTCTAGCCTTTCTAACACTAATATGTGCCCATCAAGATATTCTTCATATATCTGTAAGTATTATATAAATAAATGCCTTTATTGTCAATTTTTTTACAAATTGTAGACAAAGGTAAACTAAAGAAACAGAGTAAACAAACAAGGTACACAGACAAACAATTAATGATATTGACATTAATTTGTTTAATTGAAGTGAAACTTCCTTACGCGCGATGGGAGTAAAAATTGAAGGCCGTTACACGAGACGCGAGAGGAAATGTGGTAACGATCTTGGAGCATCGTAACTCGGGACCTATGTGAGCTAGGAGGCTGAAACTCCGAATGTAGATGGGGCTCGAAGAATCTTCCTATCTTCTACATTTTATCTTTTCATAATATTTTGACGACGTTTCCTACACTACGAAACCCCATCATCAATGAATAAAATAAAAAAACCGTTCAATCTAAATGAAATTTGGTATGTCGATAGGATGGACCAAGGCCGACTTGATCGTGTACGACACGTGTCACTGTGACAGTTAATTTTGACGTAAGAAACGTCAAAAGTTGATGTAGTCCGATCGCGACCAAATTTGGCGGGTTGGCTATGTGAGCGACGCGACGCCATTTTGTTTACATCTACATCAGGATGGGACTAAGGATTTGATATTGAAGAAAAATGTGGATCGATTTCGGTATAATTGGGGACGGGCTACAGGATGACGCCCTCGACGTTTCGAACCGATGCCTCTAATGGACGAAATCATCAGGATTTTTCTTAATTATGGGTCGATTGGAACCAAACTCGGTACGTGAATAGAGGTACCCGAATGGAGTTCGCAGACGGACAGACAGACGGAAGTAAGAAGTTTCACTTCAAATATGCGCACATAGATCTTTTTAATGTTTACATACAGGTAATAATGGTGGCAAATGAGCCAGAAGAACGTCAGCTATTCTTCCGGCTGTAGCTTTTGGTCCTCCTCTGCCATCCCAACCATGTAACCTTTGTTCTAAATCTCGAACCAACAAACTATGAGCTTGTGCCAACGGTGCAATCAGTGAGAGTAAAATAGAGCACTCTTCGGGTTCTTCTTTACTAACTTCGTCTCTAAACCACTAAAAACATTACATTAGTATTTATTCTTTTAAAAGCTGTTTAATTAAATACATACAATGTTGATTACGTCCAGATCTTTTTTGTAAGTCAACTCTGTCATAAGAATTTCTTTGGCAATGTAATAAGTTTTATCCACTAAATGTCTGCTTTTTATTTTCTTAACATCGTTTTCTATATCAGCGATAATCGTGGTAGTATTTGTGCTATTGTTTGTTGTTTTTGAATCTACAAACAAAAATTGATTGATAAAAATAAAAAATGAAATTGAAAAAAATTATAAGGAGTATATCCATAAAATTCGCGAGAACACAAAGGAGTTCAAATACCATATGATCGAAAAAAACGGCGTCCAGGTGACTTGGATATGACGATCGATGACATTCCCCATATCATTTTCTATATAAAATGACAGCGATCTTTATTTCAAAACCATAGTTGACGCCGGTTTTTTTTTTCGATCATATTGACTATTGATGAAGTGAATTCAGATCTATCAGTTAGCCCTTCAATTTCTTTAAAATAATAAAATATAAGTGGAGTTTAAAGTTTTCAGGGATATTTTTACTGCGATATCTGTAGGTTTATCTACTGGAAGTGGTAAAAAACCTTTAATGTAGTTAATCCGCTGATTAAACAGTAATACAAAAACGATTCACGCAAATATAGACAAACTATATCGGGTGGTTAACTTTTTTATCTTTTCATATAAAAAAACGAGATTTGGTGTGTTAGTATATGACATAAATCAGGAATCAATTGCTTGCAATTTTCGATTACTTACTGTTTCACCGGAAATGACTTCAAATTTTGATTTTCAAATGGCACCCTCAATATTTTTTACTTTATTCGATAGAAAATGACACTCATCATATGTCAACTTTTGACATTTTCGCATACGTTTTATTTGAAATTGTACCATGCGGTTCATAAAGACAATTTGACTCGAAATACCAAATGTGTGGTGCCAAATTCGTAAAAAAATGCTTTTTCCAAATATGCTAATAAGCCACCCTCTCCCCATTTGAAAAAATTGAGATATAATTAAAAATACGATTTGGGTATCTTTTAACCGACCAGGACAAGACACAAAAAATATTAGACGATCAAATCTAATCAAATCTATTTTTCCGAGGCTCACAGCCATGGCTACCTAGATTGAAATTTAAAATACGATTTTTCTATGTGAAAATGTCAGAAGTTGACATGTGAAATGTAATTCTATTCAGGGTGTCATTTTCTATCCAATAAAGTAAAAAAATACCGAGTGCGCCATTTAAAAATCACAAGTTGTAGTCATTTCCGGTGAAGCAGGAAGTGACCGAAAGCGATTGAATATGTCAATCAATCCTAATTTATGTCATATATTAACATACCAAATCTCGTTTTTTTATCTGAAAAAAATAAAAAAGTTATAGGGGTGAACCACTTGAGAAACATCCGGTGTATGTTTGAAATCGGAAGAAAAAGTCCATACAAAAAGACAACTTCTAAAAAATTCCTTAATTTTCTAATCGTATCTTGTTTATTTTAATTTCCCTTTCTGGTGGCCCAGGTAAAACTATACAACTCCTACATTAAAAGTTTTCTACTTCTTCCATTAAATAAGCTTCCACTAATCTATCTTTGAAAATCCTGTACCTACACCCAATAGTTTGATGTTTTGTTTTACGTTTGGAAACCAACGCACGCTGATGCCACGTAACAATATTTAAAGTCTTTTTCAAAGATGATTTATACTACTGTTACGTTTTTCGTCGGTTCCGTGTGGATAGAAAGTCACAATTTATTTAAACACTATTTATTTAACACTAATGAACAAAAATAATAACGATAAAAGACTTATAGAACTATTTACAAACGATTTATAACTAAGAATTTATTTTGAATTTTAGCGCGTCAACTGTATATTTATAACTGCCCCTGTAGGCCACGGCCGCCGGCTTTATACCGGCAGGTAAAGAACTCTAGAATTGTCCATAGATCGTTAGGTGCGTAGAGAAGGTTTTCGAATGTTCTCGTATGTACTCGTCCATTCCAGTGGGACTCGATTCTTCTCGAACGAATGAATCATTGCGGTGTCTATGCGATGTTAAGGTCATCCGAGGGCGGGCCATATTGTGAGGTTAGGTCGAGTCCACACCGGCCCGCAACACTGCCCCCTTCTTAGGTACATGCTCGTCCCGAGATGTATACGGTGAATGAAGGTATTTGCAAAGCTGGCCCCTGGTACATTGCGAAGTCTGGTAGAAATAGCAGTCTACAGTTTTCTCTCCCGATCTCAGCTTTGGGTTGTAGCAGCAAACGAGGATCTCGATTCCCGTAAATCTGAACAAGACTTCAATCATGTTCCGGATTGTACGCCAACTCAAACCATCGAGTCCACACGCCAGCTTCGGAATGGCTAATCGTGCAATGTTGTTGTTTAGCAGGGCTTCTCTCAGTTCAATCAGGGTCTTCCATAGATTGAGATAAGTCGGCTTACTCGGGGACCATTCCTTGGTGACCAGGTAGAAGATGTGCCTTGCTTGACCATGTGCATTGTCGGTTAGCCTCAAGACGCTTCCAACCTCTGGATCCTGTCGGCGTAGTTCTCCGACACGCCCAAACTTCTCATTGAACGTCGCAGCGATTCCTCTGGACATCCGCAAATCTCGAGCCACACAATGAGCGAGCGAATAATCAGGAGGCACGGAAAAGAGGTCTCGTTGATCTTCTTTGGTTACACCATAGCGAGCCTTCTCACTGCTGTTGTATCGGGCCATGAAATCGTCAAAGGACATCTCCGAATCAGGGGGATCAAAGCTGCAGGTTCTCACGGTCCCAGCACGATCTTCTATTTCGCCTTGGTAGGGGCTCAAACGGTTGAAATGGACTACCCTCGGTTTTCCTTTTGGCAATTTTCTGATACGGTATACGACGTCATTAATTCTATCCATGACTTCGTATGGCCCTTCCCACGAGGATTGTAGCTTCGGAGATAACCCACGACGTCTCTGCGGGTTATATAGCCACACCAACTTCCCTGGTTGGTATCCTCCATGCTCAGCTTGAATGTCGTAGTGTTCCTTCATTCGGTCACTAGCACTTTGAATATTTAGGCGGACTCTCTGATGAATGTCGTCCATCCTTTGACGTAGTGTGTGGACATAATCTTCTCCGGCGACTTCTTCTCCCGGTCGGCAACCAAATTTCAGATCACAGGGTAGGCGCACTTCCCGTCCCATAACGATGCTGGCTGGAGTTTGCCCTGTAGATTCTTGGACGGATGAACGGTAGGCCAACAGGAACAGGTGAAGAAATTTGTCCCAGTCTCTTTGGTGGTCAGAGACTACTTTGGCCAGATAACGGTTGATAGTTCTGTTCATGCGTTCAACCATCCCATCGGATTGTGGATGTAGAGCAGTCGTCCTGGTCTTGCGGATGTTCAGGACTTCACAGACGCCTTGGAACAGATTGGACTCAAAGTTTCTTCCCTGATCTGAATGAAGCTCCATGGGAACACCAAACCTGCAGATCCATTCTTTAACAAGGGCATCAGCAATCGTGGACGCTTCTTGATTTGGCAACGCGTAGGCCTCGACCCATTTGCTGAAGTAATCCATTACTACCACAATGTATTTGTTGCCATCGTTCGTCTCCGGGAAAGGACCAGCCACGTCGATCGCTATTCGTTCGAAGGGACTACCAACATTGTACTGGCGCATAGGGGCTTTACCACGCTTTTGTGGCCCATTAATGGCTGCGCAAATGTCACATTTCTTACACCAGGCCCTCACATCTTCTTTGCAGTTCACCCAGTAGAACCGTTCACGCAGCTTGCCAAGTGTCTTGGTAACACCAAGATGTCTCCGCTGGTTCCATTGTGAACTTCCTCCAAGACTTCTGGGACCCTCTTCTTTGGAATGACGATCTGCCTTCTCTCTTCTTGTCCCTCCGGTCTCTCGATCACACGGCGAAGTAGTCCGTTATCTATTACCAAGGAATTCCACTGGGCCCAGTACGACTTTACGTTCGGCGAATATCTGCAAACTTCTTCCCACGTTGGTCTTTGGCCTGTGTTTTTCCAGTTAATTACTAAACCTAATTCTGGGTCACTGGTTTGGTCATTTGCAAGATCTTCAGGTTGCCAACTATCATTAACCACAGTTGTTCTTAGGAGTTTCACTTCTTTCTCTTCAGCTCGGGAACAATGCTTACAGTCCTTAGCGCAAGGTCTTCTGGAAAGTGCGTCGGCATTCCGATGGATTGCCCCAGCTCGATGTTCTGTGTCGAAGTCAAATTCTTGTAATCGTTCAATCCATCTAGCTACCTGCCCTTCAGGATTCTTAAATTGCAACAGCCATTTCAAAGCAGCATGGTCTGTTCTTAACAAGAACTTTCTTCCATAGAGATACTTGTAGAAGTGTTCCACTGCTTTAACTACTGCTAGTAATTCTCGTCTGGTTACACAGTAGTTCCTTTTCGGTTTTGACAAGGTCTTACTAAAATAACCAATGACTTTTCTTGACCATCCTGGATCTGAGACAGAACAGCGCCTAACGCAACATTGCTAGCGTCGGTATCCAATATAAAGTTTCCGTTGCCAAGAGGGTAGCTAAGTATGGGCGCACTAGTCAGGGCCTTCTTCAATTTTCGGAATGCCTCGTCAGAATCTGAGTCCCAAGAGAAACGCCTCTCGCCTTCGGTAAGTCTGGTCAATGGTTTTGCGATGGTGGCGAAACCCTGTACATAGCGGCGATAGTATGTGCATAGTCCCAAAAAGCTTCGTAGTTCATGTTTATCTTTAGGTATCGGCCACTCTTCCACTGTCTTGGTCTTCTGTGGATCTACCGCAACTCCTTGGGAGTAGTGTACCTTTTCTTGACACAGATGACATTTCTTGGGGCTAAGTTTCAAACCAGAGCTCCCTAGTCGCTTGAAAACTTCTTCCAAATTCTTCAGATGCTGGTCAAAGGATTTCCCAACCACTATGATGTCATCCAGGTACACTAAACAGGTAGTCCAGGATAGTCCCTTTAACACAGACTCCATTAGTCTCTCAAAGGTAGCTGGCGCGTTGCACAATCCAAAAGGCATGACGGTAAATTGCCACAGTCCGGAGCCCACCGAGAACGCTGTCTTCTCTCTGTCTTTCGGCGCCATGTCGACTTGCCAATATCCACTCTTCAGATCTAACTTAGAGAATATCGTTGACCCCGCCAGCGTGTCTAGAGTATCGTCTATCCTCGGCAGGGGATAACTATCCTTCTTGGTAACATTATTGAGCTGCCGATAATCAATACAGAACCTGGTGGTACCGTCTTTCTTCTTTACTAGTACTACCGGCGATGTCCACGGGCTGTTAGATGGTTCGATGACACCGTCTTCTTTCATTTCTCGAAGGATTTTATCAGCTTCTTCACGTTTGGCGAGCGGAAGTCTTCTCGGATTTTGTTTGATTGGTTGTGCATCTCCGGTATCAATTTTGTGTTGTACTAAATTGGTACGACCTCTCTGTCCTGCTTCTCCTTTATCAAACACATCTTGATACTTGATTATCAGGTTTCTCAATTTTCTACTATTTTCAGGAAATAATCCCTTAACGTTTACTAACTCCTTCACCATTTTGTCCGGAATTTTTGAAGTCGAAACTTTGGAGGCCTCCACGCTTCGAATGACTGAGGAGACCGAACAACAGTACCCTAACGGGGTTCCCTTCTTCAAGGATACAGAATAATAATTCGTGTTCATTACTCTCACCGGTACAGTCTTCTTCGCTCGTAGCAGGGCTTTTCCAACAGCGACCCCTCGTCCTATTTCGCTGTCATGATTCCTTGGCTCCAACAGAATAATACTCCCATTATTCATTTTACCTTCCAGGCAACCATCCAAAAATGTCTCACAGCGCTCAGGGATCGAAACATCTTCTGCTACCACCATACGAAGCGTCTCCTCACATTTTCGATGCAGAACCACTTCTTCTTCATTTATTTTCAAAATTCCTTGTTTGAGGTTTAGCTGAAAACCTCTAGTGGTCATGATGTCCATTCCGAGAATAAGTTCATCTTCGATGTCTGCTACTAACACTCGATGATTAAAACAGGTGCTTCCGATAACAAAATTAAGATCTACCTCTCCATGGATGAGAGCGGAGCTTCCTGTAGCTGTACGTAGTCGCCATTGTGTTGTTTTATCCTTTTTGATGTTTTAAGGATATCCGGCCTGATGATCGTTTTGGTCGCACCCGTATCCAAAAGCATGGTTCGTAACTCTCCATCCACGAAACCATCCACAAAAATGCTGTTGAACTTGTGTTGTAGCGATGCGACTTGAGCAGTTTTCGTTGGAACCTGTTGGGTACTGCTCGATATGTGTCCCTTTGATTCGACACTTGGCGAAACCGGGTCCACGTCCTTTTCTTTACAGTGACTTCTTACGTGTCCTGCCTGGCCGCAATTCCAGCAACAAGTCGGTCCTTTCTTGCCCATGTACTCCTCCATGACTTTCCGCACAATGCTTTCCACGGATTCGTCGGAACATTGGTTGACCGCCCGTACTCTCACTAGAGACCGAGAACTTTGTTTCGCGGCCTCAAATTCTAGGGCACGTGCTAAAGCATCCACCAAGTGCGTTGGGTGGGCTAGGAGAAGTGCTTGTCTTGTCTCGTTATCACGTAAGCCGTCGGAGAATGCCTGTACTGCCAACCGCTCCATAACATTCTCTGGCGTAGCAGGGTACGCAAGGCGAACGAGGCGGGCTACGTCGGCTTCAAACTCCTGCAGAGACTCATTTGACTTTTGAATGCGATTTTTTAGCTGGGAATGATAGACATGTTCCAAATGAGCTTGGCCGTACCTCATTTCTAAATGTCGTACCAGTTGCTGATAATCTCCCTGTTCCGATGGTGACAATGTCTGCAAGATATCAGTCGCATCTCCTCGCAGTGCGACAGTCAAAGCGGTAGCCTTTTCAGCGATTGTCCATCCGTTCGCTCTCGCAGCGGCCTCAAACTGGCAAAAATAATTGGCCCAAGCGGTTTTTCCGTCAAACTGTGGAGGCTTAATAACTGACTTTGAGATATACTTATTTTCGACTAGTTTCGGCCCCTCCGATGTTTCTTGACATTTTGGTGAATTTGATTTCGCTATTTCTTCTCTTAAAATTTCGATTTTTCTATTTACATCTTCCTCAATCTCTGTTATTTTGTCTTGTGTATCTGTTATCTTCTCTTCTAATTCCCTGGAATTTTCTGTTATCTTTTCTTCTAAATTAAGTATTTTATTATTAAAGCTGGCCTGTATGTCTTTAGAATTTTCTGCGATCTTATCTTCTAAAATATTAATTAAATCCTGGGAATTTTTCATCATTTTATCTTCTAAATTATTCAAATTGCCGTTTAAATTGTCTTGCAATTCCCGGGAATTTTCTGTAATTTTGTCATTCAAATTGTCTTCTAATTTTTGTAGGCACGAGTCAAGGTCACCTTCAACTCAAAGCAAAATGTGTCAGGATCCTCACCTTCCTCAATCAAAACGTCTCTCAGTCTGGCTTGCAAAATGCTTTTCTTTCCATCTGTCTCGCATTCCCTCTCTTCCAGTATGCTTTTTAATTCCGACACTTTCAGGTCTTTCAATTTTTTTGGAGCCATCGTTAGTCTTTTTATTTTTCTAGTCTATCACACACGCCACACTTGACACCAATTGTTACGTTTTTCGTCGGTTCCGTGTGGATAGAAAGTCACAATTTATTTAAACACTATTTATTTAACACTAATGAACAAAAATAATAACGATAAAAGACTTATAGAACTATTTACAAACGATTTATAACTAAGAATTTATTTTGAATTTTAGCGCGTCAACTGTATATTTATAACTGCCCCCTGTAGGCCACGGCCGCCGGCTTTTATACCGGCAGGTAAAGAACTCTAGAATTGTCCATAGATCGTTAGGTGCGTAGAGAAGGTTTTCGAATGTTCTCGTATGTACTCGTCCATTCCAGTGGGACTCGATTCTTCTCGAACGAATGAATCATTGCGGTGTCTATGCGATGTTAAGGTCATCCGAGGGCGGGCCATATTGTGAGGTTAGGTCGAGTCCACACCGGCCCGCAACACTACGATAAGATTTTCTGAGATTTTCAATAATCTCACTGTAAGATGTGTCACAACGTTTTCCAGATTTATAAACCTTTCCATAAAACCAATTAAAAAAATAAATAAGGATATTGAAAGTTAATTTATTTTAAAGGGTTAATGAACAGGAAAGAGTGAACTAAATTGATAAGAGAGAGAAAAGGTGTTTCAAAATATCTAGTATGGTGTAACCTTAATGAATGAATATTAAAATTTTAATAAATTTTGACTCCTTTCTTAGCCTTTTTATTTAACGTAAAGACTGTCTGAGACTGTTATTCAGTCATCGTTCACCGTTACGCCATCATTATTTGTCAAATACGAGTTTTAGGGTGTGTCCGAGATCAGTATATATTATTATATGTTACATTAATAGTTAATATGCTGTCACGTCACGTGTGACGTTGAACGATGGCTGGAACATTCTATAGAATGTTCCAGCATAGGTATATATACCTATAAAGTCTGTCCAACCAGAAAATAAAAATTACCCTGGAATTAAAATGACACACAATTGTCACTGTCATATCTTCTCTCGTTGGACAGACTATATGCTTAATGTAAAATTTACTTTACCATTGATACTATTCATAAATCGTTCGTTTTGGTAATTTTTGTTCGGGCTTTCATCAACCCTATTCGATATCACATAATTGCCGTTTGTAGCATCGAGAGATAAATTCGAAATGTTCCCATTAACAGTCTTGGACGTAGGCGTGGAAGTGTACAAATTGTTGTTAACGAGTATCGGATCTGGTGTTTGATGGTAAGGTATGTCATCTGCAAACAGAAAATTTTAATTAGCAAGGAATTAACAATTAAACTGTTCTATTAATTGCGTTATTGAAATTATAAGTAATTGCGCAAAAATACATAAAAAAGAATGTCTAATTTGAGTAAATAGGTGGAATACAAGCATGAAATAATATTGACCGAAAAAAATATAACAATTTTACAATACTAACTACAAAATATTTAAAAATATAGTTAATATAAAGCTAAAAATTGAAAAAAAGCCTGTTGGTGGATGAACAAACGCTTTTAGTGCTTATATCATTGTAGAGTTGTAGAGCAATTCCTATATAAATTTAAATTAGATTTTTAAGATAGAATGGTGTTCTACAATTTTGACAAAAGGTTTTTACTAGAAAAGGGGAGTTCCTCGTTATTACATACAATTCTAGTCATATCAATTACAGCGCATAAGTTTGTCCTGTAATGTCTGCCTAATTAAAAAATCATAAATGCTGCAATCATAAATAATGATCATTATTTGATTCAGTACTTTGTAAAATAAAACAACTTTTAAGTTAAAAAAACAACTTTACAGGATGAGTCTTAAATAAGTGCAAATATTTTTAGGGGTTGTATTTTTCAACCCCAAAAACACGTCTATGAGTTTTTTTCTAGAAAATCGGATTTTCTTTAAATTTTCAGTTGAAAAACATAACAACTTGATAATACGCCAACATAGGTACTAGATTAAATTCAAAAGAAAGAAAACCCAGAAAAATCCAGTTTTCAAAATTTAGACAAAAATATATATTTTTTAATTTCAAAGTAAAATAATTGGGTTATTCCCTTGTTATTCCGGACTTATTTGAAAAGTTAAGAGAAAATATGTTTCTTTCATCGAGATCTACCAGCCCTAAAAGTATTTGCTCATTTAACTCACCTTGTATACAGGCTTACCCTGTATACATGATATAAACGAATGAGATTATTTTTTGTCAGTGATAAAAATTAAAGAGGTAGTTATGTTTTTAAAATTTTAACTTATACAGGGTGTTTCAAAAAACATGTGCCATCTCTCGTGGGGAGATTCCTCAGGTAAAAATAAGATTTATTTTTCATGTCGACATAGGCTCGATCCTGCTTTGTTTCGTAGCTACAGGGTGTTAAAATCTTAATAATCTTTCGATTTATTATAATTTTCTTCCAAGTACTTTTAGTGATTCGAATGAAATTTTGAGGGTAAAAGTTACTATAAGTGCTACATATTTTAATGCTTAAAAAGTGTCGATAAATTCATCAGAGATGTGCATATGCGTTATTTACTGGAATACTTTTGAAAAAAAAACATGTGCGCCACTGACTTTTTTTTATATCAAAATTGTGGAAGCCGTTTAATGTCAATTAAAAGTTGTCTCTTGATACTTTGTTGAATTCGGCCTCCTTGATGAGATAAACGCAATTTTATTAATCACAATTAATAAAATTAAAATAAAATTGATATATTATATATTTTATCTAATTGATTGTTAAATATTATTACTATTAGTTCTTATTACTACTAGTCCAACCTAGAGTAATTTTAAATAAAAAAATAATGGTATTTAAAATAATTACAAAAAACCTAATTTTAAAAAAATTAACATCTTGTAACTCTAAAACTATGCATTTCCATACCCATGTTCATAGAAACTTTTTTCATATTTTTTAATGAGGAATCAGTGAGTACTTATTTCAAATTTTCGCAAGTTGTTGTCAGACTTGGATCAAGTCATATTAATAGAATTGCGGTTATCTCATCAAGGAGGCCTTATAGCCATTTTAATGGGATTTGCAAACATTTTTTGCTATTTTCATTTTCCTGTTCAGCTTTTTCGTTGTTTTAAGTTTATATAAACATTTTTATCAAAAAAACATAATGATATATTTTCAAAATATGTGTTTCTCTATTAACGACTTATATTTAAATCTAAAATACTGCATGCGACAAAATACACAAAAGAAAAAATATGTATCGTTTCAAAACATAAAAATTCTCACCTTTCTCCATATCAACAAATAGGCTTGTAAAATTTAACGAATGAAAATGCATATAAATTTGTATGGATTTATTTCCATGGCCTTACAATATAATGAGACTATAGTGCTTTAAATTTTGATAAGAATAAATTAATGATTGTACAAGCTTAAATACAAAAAAGGTTCCTAAATTTTAGTATTACTGAAAAAAATGTGGGAGATGATAGGAGATATTTTAAAAAATTGGTACCGATATAAAATTACTAATATATAAGGTAAAGGATATATACCGTATATAAAGAAATATGAGCTTGTTAAATTTAATACCATATTGGAGATTCTGTACTGGTCTATATCCTTATTTCATGGAACTTCGTGTTACAACGATAATATCGCATTGTAAAATCAGTAAAAACTTACACAATAGGGGAGGACATTTCATGTATCCGCTTAACAAAATCCATCATAGAGGTCAAAAATATTTACAATTCTAAAGATTAGATTATTATTCGTTATTAACAATTAAATATCACAAAAACTAAAGTTCTGTCGGGTTTATTTTTAAATATTAAATATTTTTCATTGACTACATATTATCAAGATCTGTATTTAACTTGTCATGGAAAACTATTAAACAAATATTAACTATAACAGAATTCTTAACACACGCATATACAGGGTGGTTCGAATTGTATTCGGAAAACTTCGGTAACATATACTGCAGATAAAAATAAGTAAAAAAATACGTATAAATTTATGTTCTAAAAATGCTTCATTTTGGAGATACAAGGTGTAGAAGTTGCATTTTTGTTTCGATTTTTCGAAATAGTTTCTGAATTAACGTCGGCATTTGGATGAAAATTGGTGTCTGTGAGTTTTTTGACTTGATTGTTTTGAAATTTGATTTCGACGTCAATTTGTAGGGGGCACCACCATGATACAAAGAAAACAAGGTATGATCAAAGAGTAGATAAGACAAGAGACGACAGTGAACAAAGAAGTCGAATTTCGCGAGAGAGACGCAGATATATTAAAATTTAAAGGTCCCATCAAGTCCCATTTTATCTGTTGCCAAGTATATTTCTTTGAAAAATAAACAAGATTTTCTGAAAATAAATTAATAATATAAGTAACGTATGTTAATACGAAAATTTTTAGTTTAGGTTGGTTTAGGTTCTTTTTTCGCAATGTACTGTTAATATCAAAGAAACAGAATGACTAACTAAGTTGATCGATTTCAAAGATAAACGATAAAATCTGAAAATCTGACAACGGCGTATTTTACTTATTCTAACCTATGATTTTAGGACGCTAATCAGCTGTGCTAATCAGGCTAGAGTTTTTAAGGTTTAATTTTAGTATCGTTTTTGTTGCGTATTAATTTGTAATTATTGTTAAATATGAATACTGAACAGGACACGAGTAGAGCAGGAAAAGACGAGATGGTGGCAATGTGTGTGCTTATAAAGACTGCAAAAATAGGTCTTATTCTTCGACAAACATAATATTTCCCTCGTTTCCAAAGGATCCTGAAAATTATTTTTTTAGAAATATACTATATAATTATGTTATTAAACTAAATGTAATCCATAGATCGAAGACATGGTTAGAAGCTTGTAATATATTTTTACAAAGAAAATTGAGCAACACTATTTTTTTGTACATAAACTCCACATTGTGATATTGTATGGAGGGGAGTTAATCACCGCGACTTTATAGATCTATTGTGTGTTCATTGTAATATTACACTTGTTTAAGTCCATATGTAAAAATATACACGTAAATAAAACACTTCTTACAAATCGACTTGGTCACTTTATCTTGTTTACCAACGATATACAAAATATTGCTTTCATTATCTTTATTCCCCGACAAATATGTTTCTAATTATAATTTATTTTATATAATATTTATAAAACTTTTTTTTTTCGTTTCTATTTATTTCTTTACCCATACAGTAAATATTTACAAGCTATACAGGCAAGTTTTAATAATAGTCTATTTCAAATTTCCCGCGAAAAAGTTACGAAAATTTAAAGGGACAAGCGAGACGAGGTCACTCTCCCCACCACTCAAACATGAAAGGTACCGCGCGAACTGACGTCTCTTGTCTTATCTACTCTTTGGTATGATATTGCGTAAGTTGGTCGACGTAGTGATAACGGCACCACAGGTGATAACGGCACCATTGGTTGGCAACCTCCGCGCGCCAATTTCAAATCGTCAACTGACGATTTTTTTGACAATTTTGACAGTTTGACGATTAAAAATGACTTTTCAAATGTCAAGCTCAATGATTTGACGTAACTTTTGAGATATCCTAATTCTTCTCTATTTTAGATCTTTTTTTATTAGTGGCATTTGAACAATATGGAGATTTTTTGTATGGCGTATGACGTCACAGGTGATTTATATTTATATATAAACAGTGAACATATTTATTTTTTGTCAAAAATGACATGTATTGATTCCATAACATTAACATTCATAAGTATTAACATTCCAAATATCTTGAGAATTATTAGACATAGCGATTTTAATAACAGTCTATATTTATATTTTTTCACTCAGTAGTATTATACAGGTATAGACGAAAAGTTATTATTACTCTTCAAACCATTTAAAAAATATGTAGGTGGCGCCACAACAAATAGGTGTCATATTGACATTTAAATCGAATTTCTCTTAACAAAAAAACCCAGACAACAATTTTTAACCAAATATTTACACTAATTCAGAAATTATTTGAAAAAAAAATCTAAAAATGAAACTTCTACACCCCGTATCTCAGAAACGAAGCCATTTTAGGACCTACATTTTTAATTATTTTTCTACTTACGTTTATCGGTAGAATATGATGCCGAAGTTTCCCTAATACATTTCGGACCACCCTGTATAATGAAAAATACGATATTTCAAATATATCTTTGAAACACGCTACTTAAACTAATAACTAGGCCTTCAAATTACGGAAAATATTTTGTCAAACAAATTTGTACTAAAATGATACAGCCACATATTTATGTTAC